TCTTTTTATATCTTACTGAGTATGTGAAATAAATATTTCCTTTAAAAATGTTGTGTTTCCAGGGAAGTTTCCCTGGCGGTCCAGTGGTTAAGTGGACTGCAGGTGGCACGGGTTCGATCCATGGTTGGGGAGCTAAGATCCTGCATGCCATACTGCACAGCCAAAAATTAAAAAAAAAAAAAAACCAACATGTTGCTTCCTGTAAGAAAATACTTTTGTGAGATGCTCTTCTATTAATTCTTCACAGAGTAAACCTTCCCTTCTCTGAAGCATGGGAACCATATTGCTGCTTCTTCTATTTGTTCCATCTTTTATGAAGTCAGCATATTGTCTTGCAAACTATAAATGCAAATATTTATTGACTGAAACATAATGAGTACATACTTCTCAATAACCTTTTTAAATTGAGTTAGAAAATGAAGCTGGACATGAGGCTGAAGTTTTATTAATTTTTCTGAAAAACAATGAAAGCTCTGGGTTTAATGAATAGATATTAATATTAACCTTAGTATTACTAGTAAGTATAATATTAGATTTTTTTTCTTTCTCTTATAAGGGAAATTTGTTGACGATACTATTTCTATGCTATAACAAATTTTAAAACTCTTATTAAATATCCCAATAATGTTTCAAACGGTAGGATTTCAACTTAAAAATAACAAGCATGTATTACTAATTTTTCAATGATATGTTTTAAATGAGTCACAAGAATAATCTGTTATTCTAATAAGCTAAAATATCTCAAGCATTACAAATGCTTAAATATCAAATATGTACTTATCATTCCTTAATCCTAAAATATTACAACCAAAGGTTTAATTTACTCTGTATTCTACTTATTTCTCATCTTTTCTGAGGTTTAAACATGCTTATTACCCAGTAAGGAAGTTAACTACGTTATCCCAATGATTTTTGGATTGCCTTCCCAAGCAAAATGATGGGGACATCTTCTCAGATAGCTGAGACGGCTTCAGTTCGCAGTTCCTATCAAGACTGTAACTTTCTTACAGTGTTTTTGTTGGGTTTCCATTTCCTTGCTCCCCGTAAGACAGATGAATGTCTAGTTAGCTCTAAAATGATTTTAAGGTCATTCCACTGGATCTTTCATGCTCTCAGTTAATTCTAAAGCAACCTCTTTGAATAGGAAGAATCCTCTATTCTTTTCTCCTTCTAACTGTCTAGACCACAGTTTTCTGAATTCTAAATAAATGTCAGGGATTTGTCTGACTCTGTTATCATGGTCCTATGGTCCAATGACAAATAACACAGAAGAGAAAGTAATTAATATTTTTGGAGGAGACAGCATAAGAATAGTACTCTAAAAGAAATTCCTTGGGGATTTCCCTGGCAGTCCAATGGTTGGGACTCAGGGCTTACACTGCCTTGGCCGGGGTTCAATCGCTGGTTAGGGAACTAAGACCCCGCAAGTCGCGACCCGGCCAATAACTAAGTAAGTAAGTAAAATTCCTTGTTTTTAAGAATGAACCCGGCCAATAAATAAATAAATAAAATTCCTCGTTTTTAAGAAAGAACCCGGGAAAGAAGGAAGGAAGGAAGGGAGGAAGGAAGAAAATTCCTTGTTTTTAAGAATGAGCCCGGCCAATCAATCAATCAATAAAAGAAATTCCTTGTTTTTAAGAATGAACCTGAGGCAAACTTGAGGCCTGAGGCTGCTGAAGAAAGATGCTTCATCCACGAAATTAAAGTTCAGTCCATATATTCTTATGGTAAATACTCTGTAATGTTCTGAGGTCATTCTGTACCAGTTATTTGCACCTGGTGATGAGGCAGATATATATGGCACAGCTTCCAAAACACACTCTGGTGGTAGGGTGTCAGGCAAGGGGAGGAGGGAGGCAGGGAGGATAAAAAAAGAAACCCAGAAGGAGCTCATGGAAAATGGAGAAGTTGGGGATCTAGGAAGCCTATGCCTCCGCCTAGGAGCAATAACCAATCATATTTTCTATCAGTCATTCTTGTCAGTAAAAATGATATTCCACAGGAAAAAAAGCAACTAGTTCAATTCACAACTCAAACAATCAAACAAGTGCTTTTCTAGAAGACAACCATCATACTTTGGTATATAGCACAGATGCTTTATGTGTATTTGCCATTTTATCACAATGAATATTGAAAAAATGTGTTTAAGAAATGAGAATTAATAAAATCAATAATTTGCTGCCACTGCCTTGATTTGCACTAAATTGCTAGTGGTTTTACTCACCGCATCTATGCACCCTCAATGCAAATCTCAACATAGTACAAAAGGCAAATGTTATATCATCTTGGTATTATAAAAATAGTTTTGCCTCTGCAGATCCCCTGAAGGGTCTCAGGGACTCCTAATGGACTGCAGACCACACTTGGAGAATCACTGCACTATGGAAAAGCCCCCAAAAAGATTCTGTGGAAGTCTATTTAATGACATGGAAAAACATGTTCATAATATATTCAAGTGAAATATAAGTAACAAATAATATGTTTGTGCTTAACTCTTCTAACTGTACTTCTAGAAACAATCTGAAATACAGAAAAATGACAAAACCACCAACAGGAAGTGATTATATAAATTATAGTATATTCACCAAATAGCATAGTAAATAGCTATAAAAAACAACTAGAGGGCTTCCCTGGTGGCGCAGTGGTTGAGAGTCCGCCTGCCGACGCAGGGGACACGGGTTCGTGGCCCGGTCCGGGAAGATCCCACATGCCGCGGAACGGCTGGGCCCGTGAGCCATGGCCGCTGAGCCTGCGCGTCCGGAGCCTGTGCTCCGCAACGGGAGAGGTCACGGCGGTGAGGGGCCCGCGTACCACAAAAAAAAACCCAAAACAAAACACAACTAGACCGATATATATACTGACATGCGAAGATCTTCATGATAAATAGAAAAAATTTGTTGCAGAAAATTAAATACAGCATGATCTCATTTGTGCAAAAAAAAAAAGATTTATGTCAAAGAGTGTTCTGCTTGTGTTTTCTTCTAGGAGTTTCATGGATCCTGGTCTTACAATTAGGTCTTTACTCCATTTTGAGTTTATTTTTATGTATGCTGTGAGAAAATGTTTTAATTTTACTCTTTTACATGTAGCTGTCCAGTTTCCCCAGCACTACTTATTGAAGAGACTATATTTTCCTCATTGTATATTCTTGCCTCCTTTGTTGTAGAGTAATTGACCATAGAGCATGGGTTTATTTCTGGGCTCTCTATTCTGTTCCATTGATTTATGTGTCTGTTTTTGTGCTAGTACAGCACTGTTTTGATGACTGTAGCTTTGTAGTATAGTCTGAAGTCAGGGAGTATGATACCTCCAGCTTTGTTCTTTTTTCTCAGGATTGCTTTGGTTATTCAGAATCTTTTGTGGTTCCATGTAAATTTTAGGATTATTTGTCCTAGTTCTGAGAAAAATGTCATGGGTATTTTGATAGGGATTGCATTAAATCTGTAGATTGCTTTGGGTAGTATGGACATTTTAACATTCTAATCCAGGAACACATAAGACATCTTTCCATTTTTGGTAACATCTTCAGTTTCCTTCATCAATGTTTTCTAGGTTTCAGAGTATAGGTCTTTCATTTCCTTGGTTAAGTTTATTCCTAGTTATTTTATTCTGGGCAACTTTAAAACTTTTGTTTTCTTACTTTCTCTTTCTGATAGCTCATTATTAGTGTATAGAAAAGCAGCAGATTTCTATATATTAATCTTGTATCCGGCAACTTTACTGAATTCATTTATCAGTTTCAACAGTTTTTTGGTGGAGGCTTTGGCATTTTCTATATATAAATATCATGTCATCTGCAAAGAGTGACACTGGAATATTACTCAGCCATAAAAAATAATGATATTCTGCCATTTGCAACAATATGGACGGACCTGGAGGGTAATATGCTCAGTGAAATAAGACACACAGAGAAAGACAAACATTGTATGTTATCACTTATATGTAGAAAAAAACAACAATAAAAAAGAATGAATATAAAAAACAGAAACAGACTCACACATATACAGAAGAAGCTAGTGGTTACCAGAGAGAAGATAATGGGGAGGGGAGATATGGGGGTAGGGAATTAAAAGGTACAAACTACTGTATATAAAATAAATAAGCTACAAGAACATATTGTACAGCACAACGAATATAGCCAATATGTTATAATTTTAAATGGAGTATAATCTACAAAAATATTGAATCACTATGTTGTACATCTGAAATGATTATAGTATTTTAAATCAACTATACTTCAATATAAAAATTAAAATTAAAAAAACCCAAGAATGTATGTGTAGCTACATATGCAGAGGCACGTAAATGCAAAAGAAATGACTAGAGAATGACACGTCACATATTCAACAGGAGTTACGTTCTGGAAAGGGGCTGGTAATGGGATGTGGGGAAATGGGAATATGGGGGACTTTAATGTTTTAAGTATAGCTTGAATGCTTTACAAAGAATATTCATTCACGTATTATTCTTGTAACAAACTAAGAAAAGAAGTAAATATAAAAAGGCTTGGCAGGGGACTTCCCTGACGGTCCAGTGGTTAAGACTCTGCACTTCCACTGCAGGGGGCATGGGTTTGATCCCTGGTCAGGGAACTAAGATCCTCCATGCCGCACGGTGCGGCCAAAATCAATCAATCAATAAATAAAAGGCTTGGCAGGATACATGAAAGGGGTTAACTGATTACCTACCAGTGGAACTTTTGTGATTTTTTTTTTTTCACTTTTCTGGATTTTCTAATTCTTCTATGGCAAACATATATTTCTTTTTTATTAATGACAATTATTTTTATTTATAAAAAAGTCAGTTAAATGCCATATGGTGAACTGCTTAAAGTTATATCAACTATGATTTACCCAATTCAGTGTCAGTATGTGTTTTGTATATTTCAGTTACATGTGCTACATAAAGAGGTATTAGAATCAAATTCTGACATCATCAAAAATTAAAGGTGCTCAAGGTAAGTCAGTATATGAAAGTTTAAAATACATATATTTATAATATTCAGTACTAAGGACTTTTTATTATTATTTGAAAAATAATAGAAATCGTATATAACATACAAAGTGCATAGTTGTCTAGTGTAATTGGTCTCCTTTGTTATATTCTTTCCTCTACACAGAACCCGAAATGTTTCATTTTCACTGGTCTGGTCCACTAATATCATTTTAAAATGTGTATAAGAGTTTCTTCTAACAATAGAAAAAACAATTTGTAAAATAACTATACGTCCTTCATTTATAAGACAGAATTTTGGTAATACAGGAATATTACATATCACACACATAATCACTTACAACTGATAATCTGTTATCTATATGAAATCACCACACATTACATATTCCAAACATACTGCTGAAGTAAGTAAAGAGATTAGAAAACAGGGCAGTAACATGATTTCTTAAAGCAATCTCATAGGAAACTAAGATTCTGTTCGAGGTACTCACTCAGGCTCTCAGAAGACTCAACTTTATGTGAATTGCAAAAGGCTGTTTTAAGACACCAGCTGTTCAATAAATAGGTGAGTTTTACTTTGAGATTAGAATAATTTTTAAACAAAAATATTACTCCCCACTGTTTTCAGAAATGAAATACAGCTTCCCTCTTGTAACACAGCAAGACACACATAATTCCTCTGGCAGTTGCCAGTTCAACTAAAAAGACCCTTCTTTTTAGTTTTGGCCATTGATTTCTTGCTGGCATCAGGTAAGGTCTCATTTCTTTTGGCAAACCACCCAGGTAATTTTCTCTTTGAGGTTTCAGATGAAGTCTGTAGGAAAGAAACAGAAAAAAAAAAAAATATATATATATATATATATATATTTGTACTGCTGAAAATGTGTCTCAGTTGCAAAGTAACATAGGTTATTGAATATACACCCACAAGCCTTCCCTTTCCAAATAAAACAAAATAATGAGATCTACAGAATTTATTTCTGGATCCAAAAATAAACACATGAGAGACAAAATCAACTATATCATTTTTTTAGGCAATTACCTGCCATCCTGTTAACCTATTTTTAGACACTCAAGTGTAGACTCTCATTTCGAAAGGAAAGAACTGGATATTATTTCAGATCTATGTCCCATGGTGTATTTGCTTTAGCTTGGCCAAAATGGTGAATTGAATGTTCCAGGAAAGGCATCTGCCTAAGCATGTGTACACACACACACACACACACAGTTATATTAGGCATTTTAAAAAGCATACAACTTGTACATCTACAGTGGTAGACAGACTAGGAGAGTGGTTCAAGCATCATCAGGACCTTGCAGAGTTGCTGAGACATAACAGGTACTCAAAAAACATTTGCTGAATAAATGAAAAAAAACAAAAGGGTTCTGTTTCATAGACTCTTTTGAGAATCAGCTAAAAACTAGAGGTCCACTTATGAGAAAAAAAAGACAAACGTACACATGCACGATATTTTGCCTAATTTTAGGGGACCTGTGCACCAAATGAAGCTTCAGAACCCTAGTTAAAGGTCCCTGAAAACAAAATTAAACCCAAAGGCAGTGGTTGTGTACTTATTTTATCTGTACATTAAATTTTAATAGGTAATTTAATACCTATTAAAACTTTTAATAGGTAAGTTCTATAAGCTCAAAATGGTATTAATTTGTGTTATCTCAGCTTGAACTCTAGCTCCTTAAACCAACATGATGGAGAAATCATTCTAACATGACTATACTTTGGAATCTGGGAGAGTTAATTTATTTATTGGAACTATTTGAGGGCTTTAAGGTAAGGTGGTCTCATCTAAGTTACAATGTGTCTGTTAGCCTAAGGTATACCAGTATAATTTATTCCATTTCAAGAATGAAGACTACATCTATGAATTGTTCGTTAACTGCTTGCTATGTTTTATTATGTTTTCTGTGTTTAACAGTGGCTTCAAAATATTTAAAGGTGGGGAAAAAAGTAAAAACTCCTTGACAAAAAACTGTGTGACCTTATATTTTTAAAAGGTAAAAGCTGTTAGCTATTCCAACTTAAATAAATCCAGTGCCGAAGAAAGGGCTATTCACACTTTAGCAAAAGCTAAAGAAAAAAACCAGCCAAGATAGCAACTTCTCTCCCAGGCACCTATTTCCTCACAGGGAAGAGAAGACCAGGAGGACAGACGAGATTTATACACACTGTATGATATTACAATGTTTGACTTAGAAATAATAAGTATTAGGGATATAAAGTGGCACGGATAAAAGGCATTTGGGTAGAGATGAAATTGGCCCAGAAATACTCTTCCCCCCAGAATTTTATTATCAAAATTCCTTGCAGCCACAGACAACTATCATTGCTTGCAATCAGAGTTTAAGGGCAACTGGAGGAAGGAAACCAGTTAAAATTATAACAAAGCCAAAAAGTAAAACAGAGTACAAGATCCGAACAATAACAGAGCCAAGGAAAAAACCTGAAGTCCTGTTGTAGCCGTAGCCGAATACTATGGAATAAGCAGGGACTTTAAAACCAGACAGGCTCTGTGATGACCTAGATGGGTGGAATGGGGGAGGAGGGGTGGGAGGGAGGTCCACGAGGGAGGGGATATATGTACACATATAGCTGATTGACTTTGTTGTACAGCAGAAACTAACACAACATTGTGAAGCAACTATACTCCAATTAAAAATAAATATAAATAAATAAAATAAGCCTAAGTAACTTAAAAAAAAACAGAACTAGGTTTGAGTTCTAATTGAGTCACTTGCTACATGTATGACCTTATGAATGTTATTAAAGCCTTGATTTCTTCACACAGAAAAAGAGAATAATAGTATATAATACTGTAACACTGGATTATTTGGAGAGTTACAGAATATCAAAACACATCCTGATTTATTCTTGGTATTCATTAATTGGTAGCTAATATCATTTCAGGTCTTTTATCTCCTATAACATTTTTATATTGATAGAATATGATATTCAGCATTTATCCTATCATTATAAAAATGAGCTTATTTCATTGAGAAAGGGGTAAAACACTTGCTTACACTGAATGTATCTTTTGAGTCTCAACAATAAGTATCTGGAGGACTTTAATTATGAGGTCTAATAACAGAAACAACGCTTTTCAGTGACTATTTCCTTCATTAGTAGAAGGCTAAAATTCCCAGCAATCATAATAAAAATTTAAGTAAGTATTTACTTAAATTTAAGTAAGTACTTACTTGGTACTCCAAGTTCTATTAATAAGCCACTATCATTAAGTTGAGAATATAAAACGTTAACTCATTTGCTGATTATATGCACCCATATATATGTAAGCAAATACGTACATTATATTTGCATTTAATTTCATCTAAAAACTAAGATAAATCTAGGTATATTAGTTATCAAGCATAATATATTTGTCATGAAAACTATTTTATTAAATCAATTTTACCTGTAAATGAGAATCTACAAAGAAATCTTCAATTTTGGGATCGCTGAATGGCTGATTCCAGGAAGTTAGTTTTAGTGAATTTCTGTGACTCTCATCTTCCTGTGAAAAATCACAAGAATGTTTTCCTTCAACCTTTAAAATTTTGGGGGAATATGAAATAGTTACTACATGCACTATTTCCTTAGGAAAAAAACAAACTATGCCTAAAAAAGCAAAGGTTAAGAAAATTCATATTATTCTGAGGTACTCAATCTTAACAATGATTATCATAATATTACCCCCCCAGCATTTTTCCTGAGTATCTTAAAGTAGTTTATAAAAATGTTGTATGTTTTAATTTATAATGAAACTCAGTGGCAGGGCATGAGACCTCTCTCTCTGTCTCTCTCTCTCTCTCTCTCTCTCTCTCTGGCAGTCAAGCAAAATAAGATGGAAAAAAGTGACATATGAGGAGAGGGTTCTGGGAAGATGGTGGCAGCAGCAGCGTAGTTTTTAATCTTTCTGAATCCCAGCATTAAAACAGATAGAATTAGGGAGCAAAACCAAAAATTCATCCTCTACATTTACAAAGAAACTAAGTTTATTAAAGGTATCCTCAGGAAACTGAAACTACAAGCATGTGAGGAAAAACCACCAACAGCCCTAAGACCTGCATGGTACAGCATCTGTGTGGGAGAAAGCAGAGGCAGGCAGTGAGGTGCCTGAGAACAGGAGAACCAAACAGCCCACAGGTATACACTGGAAAGGTTTCTTTGAGAACAGCATCTGAAAAGTGGGAGTGCCTTTCCCCAACCCAACAGCAGGCGATGGAAAAGGGTCCACAGCAGTGTCTTAAGTGACTAGAGCAGCTGGCACCTATAAACTTCCAGGTGAAGGCCTGACACTGAGAACTGCTGGGGTTAAATCAAAATCAAGCAGGACGGGTATAATAGAGGCAAAGGGAAGAGAAAGCCCAAGTAAAAGTAGCAGAACGGGGTATGTCATAAACCAAGTTTCCCTATTTTGAATGCTACACAAAAACAACAGGAGAGCTTTGGGAACTTGGAAAAACTATCCTGAAGCATGCCGTCTTTTGAAAGTGCAGGAAAACTAATGTCACACAAAAAGGAGCAACAGGCAGTTATGAGGTCAAATCTGACACCGACTTGCTAAGATATAGAAAACTGTAACCTCCTAAAATGAGCTGAAAAACATTAAGAAAATAATTCAAAACAAACATCATAAATTAAAATCAGAAAAATTCAAAAGTGAGGGGAAAAGCTCTGGAAAGAATTAGAAATAAAAGAAAAAATTATACAAGTGAATATTAAACTATAAAGAACATAGCAATAAATACAACAGATTGTGTCCAAACAGAAATAGAAGGTGAAAAAGAAGAAAAGTTTAATCTAAAGAGAAATGAAAAGCCAAAAAGAATTCATGAGAAGTGACAGATATTGTAGCTCAGTAAAGAAGATCCAACATATAGAGAGCAGAAATACGTTAAGAAGAACTACAAAGCAATGGGACAAAAATACTAAAAAGTAAAATTTTAAAAAACTTCCTGAAATAAACAAAAATTTTAAATCTACAATTTAAGAAAACTTTCCAGAAATAAAAAAAAAAACTACACATTTAAAGAATCCACTGTGTACCTTCGTATATTGAATCAGAACTACCATTATCAAGACATAATCTTCCTCCAGTAAACATAGGCATGACTGAGCTTGTATCTTAACCTCAGTCACAATAGATGTAAACCTAACAATGCATCAACTAATAAGAAGAATTTGTTTTGACATTATTTTTTATTAGAAACCTCATAATCATAAGATGAAATAGACTAAGGGATATAATCCAGGTCAGTAGAGAAGATGAAGGTTAACACATGAAGGATCCTGAAACCAGGCCTCCAACAGACTCTACAGTGTTCAGAGTAGCTTTCTATACTGGAAGGCAGACGAAAGAAAAACACTTTGGCTGGCTCACTCACCCCTTAATCTACTTCCTAGCCCCCATATTCTTGTTCCCCTAAATGGGGAAAAAGAAAAGGCTGAATCCGGTAGGCTTAATTTCCACCCACCCCCCCAAAATACCCCCACTCTTTTTTCAGAATATGATGTTATTTCAATAGGAGGAAAGCAATAATATTAATGTGTGGTTATAACAGTATTTCACTATAAATGTGCTTCAATATTCAGGAAAAATAACAAGTTATACCTTTTCCTATTGACATATACAGTTGGGAAAAAAATAAGGTCTTAGGCACCTGGTATAGATTTCAGAAATAAAAGGCTGGGAATAGCAGCCAAATTTCACTACCACCTGCCCAACGTGTATCTCCTTTAATGCCCTTTTTTTTTTTTAAACATCTTTATTGGAGTATAATTGCTTTACAGTGGTGTGTTAGCAATGCCCTTCTTATAGCTAATTCAATTGCCAAAATAATGTAAAGAATTCCAGTTAATAAAATTTCATTAGGTTATCTAGTACATGACTATATACAAATCTAACTGAAGGACAGAATTTTAAAAGATCAGTTCCTCTTACTTTTTAAGCTATTGAGAAAAGGAGTTTAACTGTTGGAAATCCTATAAAGATTACTTAGAACTGAAATAAAGTCCCTAATTCTCTAATATAAATAGTAGCAACCACCTACCACCATGCTGAATTTATCATCTAGGAACTAAAGTAATTTTTGAGTTAATTATAGTTTTCACAAACTTTTATCATGGAACTTTAGACCTGGAAGATATAAAAGGTCAAATTTTCAAGTCTTTGCAATCATTTAGTAGAGTCACAATGTCAAAGAATAGTTATTCTCTGATGACTATTTATTTATCTCATATAACACACAGAGCAATAATATTCAAAGCATTTGATTTTAATAAAATATACCGTGTAAAAATAATACTAAACTCATGGTCTTTCTCTGATCATGCAAAAGTGCACTGGGATATGGCCAGGACCATGAGCAACAATTATCCTTGTACCTGAGAGATTCACTATAACAGGAACAGAGCCTGAGGAGTAACAGAATGATAGACAAATTCCAATATCTGGGGAGGTATATATCATAGAATTTGGTCTTATTTTCATTAACCACATAAACTACCATATGCTTACAGCCAATATTAAATATATACCTATGAAAGAAAGAGAATTTCCAGACTATATAGTCAATATAAGGTAGAGGTAAAATTTAAGCTGACATTCCCATACAATAAGCTAAATCGATGGACTATATTCCTCTTTTCCCGCTGTTTAAAAAATCTCTTTTCTCAGATCGGATTTATGAAAAGCAACGGAAATACAGCACCGAGATTTTCTAAAAAGTAACCCTCTATCAGAATTTATAACAGTTCAAAAAATACAGCATTCTGGTATTAAGATATGCAAATTGAACGATCTGACACTACATGAAAATTCTACATATAATTAACACCTTGGTATTAGTGCCCACTTCTTCCTTCCTTCTCTTAGAATTTGAGCAGCTCTCTTCAGAGTTGGGGAAACATCTCTTTTTGCTGGAATCACATGAAGACTGGCATAGCATCCTGTTTTCGCAGCCTTTTTCCAGGATCTCAGTTGCCATGTAGATAAGGTAGGTGTCAATGTTTTCAGGAACATACATTCTAATTAGTTTAATTTTATTTGTATCTGTAAAGGATGAAAAAAAAGATTTAAAAATAAATTACACAGAACACTGCAGAAAACCTATGAGCTGGAAATAGTGACATGTTTTGTAGAAAGGAAGGAGGAAGGTGGCCAGAGAAAATGTTCCTCTTTCAAATGCCTATCCCCTTACAGAACAGAAATGGAGTAAAACATGTCCCCTCACTCCTGCACCACCTGCACCCCTGCTTCCAAGACCCAGAGTCAGGTCAGGCTATCGACTCTGCTTAACTTTTGTTTCAAACCGTCTTTTGAGGGCTGCCCTGAGAATCAAAACCACCATCCACAGAAATTCCAAATATCAATTATAAGTTAATTTTTTGAAAATAATTTAGCCTTAAAATAGAAGCTAATCATACTTGTAAATAAGATGCTAATAAAAAGGATTCTTTCAATGGCTATCGAAGCATAACAAAACACGTCAACTATTTAAAATGCCTATTATTTAAATAAGTTTTCTGGGAAAGATATTTTATTTTCAGATCTTATTTGCCCTAACTTTCCACACAAGTAAGTGCTGAAAATATCTCTTGGAGAGTGAAATAATGAGCACTGCCTGCATTCTTTCAGTGCTTAGAAGAGATCATATTACCCCTGCTTTTGTGGCAGGTCCCTTGGAAGCCACCCTTAATTTTCTAGTTACATGCACATAAATAATGAAAGAACAAAATTATTAAAAATACTTTCCAGGTACCTCATTAAATACTTTGCTTCATTTATTATTAAGCATAGTTAGAATCTCAACTCCATAAAAGAAGCAGCTTAAAGTCATGTAAACATGGAAAAAACTAAAAGAATAAAAAGGTACAGAATTCCTTAAAATATTGTTACAAGGACGAAACCTACTTAGCAAATAAGATAGCATGAAAATAATAGATATAATTTCTCAATTCACAAATACTCTATTTTTAAGATTAAGATTATGCCATAATAAAATATAGAAAATTCTCAATTCAAGATTGTGCAAAATTTAAATGCCAACAAACTTGTTCATTAAAACACCAAATCACGTGATATGGCTACAGTTAAGTAAAAGGTGAAATATCATATCTGAATCATTAGTGTGGCATAGATATCTTCATTTCTTATTATAATTTATAACTCAACAATGTTTCCTCCAGTAAGAGAACAAATAGTATTTTATCAAGGAAAACTACGAATTCAAAAATACAATTTCACATGAATAAATGATATATTACAGACTATAACCATACAATCAAAAGAAATAAAGTTTAGAGCTCATGATACTTATCTTTCTCAATTTTGGTTTTGGAGGTAAATTGCAATAATATATTTTTTCGTATTATTTGTGCAACCTATATACAGTGTATTGACAGAAAGATGAAATAAGTGTTTAATAAGTATAATTTAAATTCCATTGGTCTTTGGAATTTCAATTTAATATTTAACTGAATGAAAATTTATTTGCTATACTCAGTGTATAATAGTAAAGACAATAGGGAAAAGGGAAAAAGAGTGCACAAACTCAGAGAATACTGCATACTATCAAACAGCTCATCAAAGATATATCTTTCTCTAAATCCTGAGAGACAATACATACATAAAGGAAAAAATAATTCTAGGGTATTAAAATCAAGAAGGCATCTGAGTCTTTGACTTTCTCTAAAATACTATTTCATTCTGCATTGGAGAAAGACAGGTTTTATACAATCCCAATTCTAACCCTGCAATTAATTACTGTTGTCCTTCCTCTTCCTTAATTTCTAGCAAAATGGTTGCTGAAGTTAGAAAGACTGGAGAATGACCAGGAGAGCTGGCTGGCTTCCTCACAAGATGACTCACAGCTAAGTGACCCTGGATATTTTATCGCAGTACAGGATCTGGCCCTCACGTTTTCAGATTTACAAACCTACTTTAACCTTAATAGAGCCACATTAACCAAGCTCACAAAATGCCAATTCATTAATTTCCAATTATGAATTCACAACTATCATATAGATAAGTACCCAGATTAGCAAGACTAGTGCATATTTTCCCTATAGACAGACCTACACGGGAAATCAAATCATAACCAGAAAGCTGTGATACAGAAGCAGAATTAGTTGTTAAGGTATCTCCCTCAAATAAGATCTTGACATAAGCTATCAACAGGCCCTGAAAACACTTGGAAGTTTCATTGACCAGGATTAGAAATTGCATATTTCTTTCCTAAATAGTTGGCAGTACAACTTTAACATGGTATAGTAAAAAGAGAAACTTCGGTTTCCTGGAACTAACTTAGAGGACCACTGCCCAAACTTGCCTCTGTCTCTCTCCTTGCCTCCAAGGTTGAGCAATGGAAGGAGAGATGGAGGTGTCCTTCAGTCAAGTCTTGCTCAAGCCTAGAACAAATGCTGCCTTTGAAGGTGACTTAAATACCTTTGTTCTGATCAGTTAAGTATAGTATTAACTGTGATCTGTTTTCCCTTACTTCTAAATCTAGGGGGAGAGCTGTATACTCGTTTCTGAGTGGGAAAGAATTTGAGGTAATAAGTTTAACTATTTGCACTGCAGCTTTGGAGATAAGGCTTTTTGTATGTCCATTGCTCTGTCCTAACAGTCAAAAAAAACATCAGATTTACTGAATTATAACACACCTAGTTTACATTTGTACATTTAGGGTGTGAAAATCCTTCTAATCCACCTCATCTTTACTTCTGTAAAAAAGGGATCATAACTTTAAAATAGGCATATTTTAAAATTTTCTGCAAGGCAAACAAAGGGGCTTGATCTCCTTGAGCACAGTTGAGGTTCTGTAGCAAAGTGACAGGAGAAAACCCTTCTACAAGGGGCCCAAGAGAACTCAGTCCATCCCTTCAATGCCACAGTGCCTGACACTATTGACTGTATTGATGAGAAAGGCTACTTAGGTAAAACCAGTGACAGGGAATCAGAAAGATTTAGAAAAAAACTAAGTCAGTGAGCTATGGGGAATGAATGTGTTTTTTTCAAGTGATGAAGTAGAAATTAGAAAAGGATGAAAGAGCACTGTTTGGGGGATGGGTGTGGAAGTTGTAACCTGAAGCTGAAAAAAAAAGCCAGAATTTCTCAGACTCAGACTTCTCTCTGAGTGATAATGGGAAGAAAGGTTGTTTTTCTAAAACAATAAAAAGCATTACAAAAGTAAAGTTTTCATAGTAGCATAAAGGGTTAATGCGATCAGAGTGAAAAATATTAGTGGATTGCTTGTTTACTTCATCTGGGTTCAATGACTCAAGTCATTAAGGCTGCAGACCAAGGTCATGGTTATCACCTGAGTTGATGGGAGGGTTTCGGATAACATCAGCAATAATCTTCTGAATCTCTGGAGTCAGACCTGCTCGCTCCATATCGAGTGGGTAGCCAGCTTGCACCGCTTGGGACAAGTGCATGCCAACTGCTGCGAGAGGCAGAATCCTGTTCTCAGCTATACTCTTCTAGAGAAATAGCAGCAAAACAACCAGTGAGTTTTTTTTTAAGTTTCCACTGTACTGTGGGATACAAGGTTCAAAACCTTCAGGTAGTAAATGTTCACTGAGAAATAAACAGTGGACTAAGCCTTCATTTAAATTTCTCATTTTAACTAATTCTTTAAAATGACTCACATGCTAGAACTCCACAGTTGCTACTTTTTATACTTATTATATTGAATAAAGCAAAATCACCCAGGTTTAGCTAAGAAATCAATCCTCATCCCTCTGTAATTATTCACCTTAAAAACCTATTAGTGACAGAGAGCAGTCATTCTACGTAAGTCTAATAGCTGCCACAACCTTTTAAAAATACAGTAAACTGAAACCCAATAATGTATATACTTGAAATAACACACGGTACTTCAGTTACATGAATTTCCAGGAAGACAAATCATAAAATGCTTAGCAATAACATAAGGCTCCAAATGTACTCTAGAAAAGGTTCTCAAGAAGAGTTTAAAAAGTGCTTTAAATTGGCTCTATTCATAAAATAATAATAACCACAATTTACAAGTGGCTGTCATCATTTGCCTAGCATTGAATTTAACATGAATTGTGCTAAATTAAGGACACTGTTACATATTTATGTAGCTTTTAAACAAATGTAGCTCCAAATCCATTTAAGATGTCTGTTAGATAAAACATTCTTTTAAACATTCAGAAAGTTTAGTCACTCAGCTCTGAATTATTTCATGACACTCTTTTTTAACACACCTTGAAAGTCTGAATTTGGACTGTATTTGTATGAATGCTGATATTTTCACAAAATAGAGCATTTAAAGCAATATTTTCATCCTTCAAAGGAAGGTTTTAAGTTACTTTCACTAAATGTCTACACTTTTTCTACTAGAAGATGTGTACCATGTGTGCATAATATCAGGGTTATTTGATACCAGGCATCGTATTACCTAAAACTAATTGTATTATTCCTCCTGATTAATTAGTCCTTAGGCATGTTTAATTTTGCGGGTAACTGGCAAGACCCCCTCAGACTCCTGGGATGTACAGATAATTACACCACAATATTTCACAATAATATACAACCAAATAATAGCAAAAGACACAAATGAAGATATACCACTCCTCACATTTTTAACCATGAATATGTAACATAATACATGAAACTTCATATCCTGGCTAAGTATGAGAATACAATTTATTTTAAAAATTTGGAGGCTATTCCATATTTTCTTAGTAATTATATACAGTTATACCATACATATTTGGTCAAATTGTGTATATACAAGCATGTTTTACATGTACATGTAAGTTACTGTTTAAATAAGAGAATGAACTTAAAATTCCTATTTATCATGTAATATGTTTCAAAAATAGTTCAATGGAATTATTTGGTTCTTTGTGTAATGGCTTTTGTACTTTTAATTAAGGAGTTTGGCTATGTAAGTAGAACATATATTAAGTGACTACGATAGGCTATGGACTGTTTATTCTTATTTATATTGGATATTAACCAGAATAGAAAGTGTGTAACATAGCCTAGTGGATGGAGAGACAGAGAACAGGAAAAGCAGGCCCTGGACCATACAGCCTAATCTAAACCAATTTAACATCAGAGAGGACAGGAATGCAAATTAGTGAAACTTAGCTGGAAGCCTCATTCTGTCCCTATTCCACTAAGATATCCTCTTCATTTTGTATATTTAAAAACTCTCAACAGCCTTAAGGACTTATGCCAAAACAATGAAGAAACATTAAGTATGGCCATTTTTCACAGTAATCAGATTTTTTTCAAAGAGCATCAAGCAGACATGGTTAAAAAAAAAAACAGAACATTACACTAGAGGAGATAGAGTGAAAAGCAATTTTGTTTTTTTTTTTAACTTATTTCTAGCTTCTTCGACATCCTTCAGAGATATTCTATGCACTTTTGTATACATACCCAAGGATATGTGAATATATAAGCATGCAAATATATATACATACACATTTATGTATGTTTTTCACAGTGCTATGCATCTTCCTTTTTTTACTTAACAATGTATCTTGGAGATTATCTCTTATCAGTACATACAGTAATAGTTTTTTAACTATTAATCCCATTAAAAAAAAATGGAGTCTTAAAATATGGCTGCTCCAATATCCCTAAGCTATAAATGCGTTTATCAGTACCTCTGATACAACCTCTATAAGATAATCATGGTCAAACTATACTTGCTGTTTTTACTTAATTATCAGAAAAGGGCTTAGCAGAAAAAGCAAATGACATTCTGTTCTAAAATTAATTATAAAATGAAACCACATAAAATATTGTAGGATTAGAAGAAATGTATCCCAAGTCTCAACTTTGATATTGAAAAGCTGATAAAACACGTTTAGATAAACTTAAAAATTCCCTCTAACTTGAAAGTAACACTTACCAAACACATTTTCTTTTCTTGGAATAAAGAATATGTGATGGCTGCAGACTGTGAAAGTGAGCTTGCTTTATTTTTCACCACCAGACTTTTCTTCTGTTCTTCTTGTGGTTTTGTACTTGAAAAGAGGTCTGTCTACAAAATTTTAAATGTAGCACAAATGATCAAAAATAATATCAATATAATGACTGATAGAATATCAACATGATCATTAGCTATCGGCGAAAAAAATAACACAAATAAAACCTCTAAGGAACAGCTCCAAATTCCCTTTTTGTGAGGAGCTCAAGAAGTTTTTTTTATTTTTTACATATTGATTTTAAAAGGTAAAATAAGGTTAGAGGGAATAAGTTTTGAATAAAATATTTGTAATTACAAACATGGTTGTAAAACTAGAAATTCCTAGTCTTCCCTTTAAGCCAATAAGAGGGACTAAAAATGAACTATAATGTGGACCACTCTGCCTCTAAATTAGTCCCCTAATCCCCCAGAAGTGAATAGTGAATGAATGAATGAAGCTTTAATTTCTATCTACATTTGAAAGTAAAATAATTTCTTAGTCTAAAATACAGTACTTATTCAGATTTAAAAACGAAACCTCTCAACAAAATAAACCGACATAAGCAGGTTTGACAACTATTACTTCAGAATCATCTTAAAAATTAGGTAACTAGTGGTTATCAGTGGGGAGAGAGGTGGAGGAAGGGGCAAGATAGGGGAAGGGAGTTAAGAGGTACAAACTACTGGGTATAAAACAAATAAGTTACAAGGATGTAATGTACAGCACAGGGCATATAGCCAATATTTTATAATAACTTTAGAGTATAATATATAAAAATATTGAATCACTATGTTGTACATCTGAAACTAATATAATATTGTAAGTCAACTATACTTCAATTAAAAAAAATAGGTAACTAACATGTTTTTATAACTGATTTACTATAGAAACTATCTGATTCATTTTCTAAGTGTCCAGCATAGAAATGAAAAATGCTGCTTTTGAAGGGTGTTTTGTAATTGTCAAAAAAAGTTTATTCTCTCAGAGCTCCTGCAAACCATAGTATTTTACCTGAAGACTATTTATTTGACAGAAATGTTTGATGACTTCCAACAGAGGGGCCAACATTGTAGCTTTGCCTTCAGAAACACCATCGATCCTTTTCACATTTTCAACTGTAGTAGGTCTGTCGTTTAAAAAAATTAAAGTCAAGAAACCACTGAAACGTTACCACTCCAGCAACACAGCTAATAGATATTTAGCTTCAATACTGACACTCAATAAACATGGATTTTTTTCCAGCAACCAAAAACAATGTATAAAACAAGTAATTGTGTTTTATGATTCTTAGAGGACAACTAAGAGGCTAAGAAACTCAGAAGAAAATCTCATTCATTATTTACAAAGTTTTTACCTGTAACAATAAACTAGCTAACTAACTACTTCAGGCTTTTAATATTTCTTATTGTGTCCAATATGAAGAGAATGTCTGATGTCTTCTTTCTAAAAATCTGCCAATCTAATGATTACTCCTTTTCCTTTAAATATCTTCACTGAATATTAAAATGTGGTCTTTGAATATTTATTTTTAATGAAATAATTATTATAAGGTATATGCACTATGTAACATTATTAGAAAATTCTTCTCTAAAGTAACATCTCTTGAATGAAATTTAGCAACAGAAACAATTTTTGAAAAGGAAGTATACAAGATGAGTACAATTACCAAGCAACAATTCTTTGGAAATAATTTCTTCTAAATATTTATTGACCACCTAGTGATTATTAGGCATTGTGCTAGGTACTTTGGAAAACACAAAAAGATGAGGAATATAACATCTTCATCACAGAGTTTAAAATCTAGAAGACACATATACATGAATACCAATAATAACAAAAAAATAAATAAAGCATTATGTAATAAGTGCCATAGAATCATCTTTTAAATTTACATTTAAAAGTCCTTTATGAATTCCACAGAAGAATCACTTTGCTGATAAGAACATGGAAGGCTTCATGGAGCAAATAACAATAAAGCCAGATCTTAAAGGATTTCCTAATAGGAGTTTTGGGAAATCAAGGAAACTACAAGTCAGAAGCAACATTGTAAATAAGTATATCGAAGTTGAAAAGGAGACAAACAAATGGTAAACAATCTAGGTAAGATTAAGCATTAAAATTCTGTGACTCAGATGGAAAAGAAGGTTTAAGTCCATAAATGGAAGGCCTTGAGTTGTGGGCTAAATAAGTTAAGACAGTGGGAAACTAGTTAAGCAGAAGTACAACATGATAAAGATTAATTTGGTATTCATATATCAGAGGTATTTGGTATTCATATATCATATTCATATATCAGAGAGAGAGAGAGGCTGAAGAAAGAGTAACTAGTTAGAGGCTTTTTCAACAGTAAAAGGATAATGGTCTGAACTACCATGGTGTCACTAAAAAAAGAAAAGCACAGACAGACACAGAAGAAACACTGAAATGAAAAAGTCTAAAAACTATATAATAAGAGAAAGATGGGAATATATGTTAGAAGAGTAACAGTAACATCAGAGGTATTAAACAGGCGTGACTAGGAACATGATAGTATGACTAACAAAAATAAGGAATTCAGAAGGAAGAGTTTTGGCATTTGCATGAAATGCATGTACAGAGGGTTGGTGGGTAGTGAGTTAGATTTTATATACACTGGATCTGATTGCTGAAAACAGTTGGTTTCATGTGGGACTAAAGCTCAGTGAAGAAACAGATCATTGGCAGCAACATGGGAGATTTGGGAACCACCTCTTGGATGTGACTGCTGGAGCCATAGTCATATTATCGCTAAATGATGTATTTTACAAATCTATTATGTTAGAAGAAAATAAGTTAGAAATATGCAAATAGTTTACCTCATTTGGGCCATATCCACCAGTATCTTATTTGTTGCCAGAATAGCTGGAGGAACATTCATTTTATTGGCATGTTTCTGCCTAGCTTCCACCAATTTGCCATATAATGTAGTCTGAACGAAAAGCAAAGAAACAACATTTGTTTAAATGTACTTAGAAAAATCCAGCCCTTTATTTTTAGAGCTTCAGATATTACATTTCCCCCTTAGGATGAAAAATGAACTGTATCTTAGACTCTTAGCTAAAGAACAATTTTTAAAATACTGGCAAGAGAATTTTAAGCATGCATAGACTCATAACTATCTTCTCAAAAACGAACTGCCTTTTTACAAAAGCCATACCTGAGTCTCCTGCTCTTTGGCTGAAATAACAGGTTCTGAGGACTTGTAATATTTTCCTGGTGATGGCACCATAATGCTAAAACATTTAAAAGAAAAGAAATAATAAAAGCTTTTCTTTCTCCAAGTTCACTTTTTATTTTGCCCCCAAAATAAGAATATCTTTCCAAATCAATATTAACATTTATTTGTCACAATACCAGTAAGGCAACTATTACTTAAATGACAGCCTAGATTTTAAACATTTTGTATCAAATACATTCATTATAGAGGTAAAGTTAAAACTATAATTTGAGTCAATCACAAAATTGGTGCAATTAAGAACAGCATTTGCCTCCTCCTCATCAATCAAACACTTTGAAAGAAACTACTCCTTATCTATACCAAAGTAAAATTTTTTCTAACCAAGAATGATACAATCTATAATTCTTCTTGTGATAGCACTATTTTTTGGCTGTTGAGGAACATTAGCATGGAATTAATCAAATTATTCACATTTTTCTTCAGAATCAAACTAAAAAAAAATAAGCCAAAAGGAATAATTTTGCCTTTGACGCCTCAAAAGAAGAATTTAAAACACCCAATTAGCAATTAACATGGTATGAAAGGCGCAAGACAGCAAACTAGATAGAAAACCAGGTTTTACAAGAGGCAACTTCACGGATAAATTAATTATAAAGAGGAAAAGTTACAAAAATGAAATTGTATAGAATAGCCTATGTAAAAGGTGTCAAATTTAAATAAATTTCTGCTTTTGGGGGGGAAAGAGAAGAACATGTTTGATATTTAAGAAATGTTTATAAATTTCCCTGTTTCAAGAATTAAAAATTTACAGTGTAAAGTAAGACTTAATTTTTACAATTATCAGATTTTATCACTAGAATAAAGAGATTTGAACATGAGGAAAGAAAACTCCAGTTCAAAGAATTAGTCATAGCAGGTGACTCAAGACAACTATAAATTTGTTTTAAATAATAAGATATTTACCTTTATCTTAGTATTTATGGAAATCTTTATACTAATGGACTATTTGCAAATTGGTATGTTAAATTATTTCACAAAAAAATTTTATTATCATATATACTGGCAAAATTCTGTGTAACATATCCCTGAAGCAGAAAAATATGTGGAAAATGTTTTGCCTGTGAATGCTATTACAAGTGCACAGAAGAAAAGTACAAAATATATAATAAGGGACCTCCTGGTGGTGCAGTGGTTAAGAATCTGCCTGCCAATGCAGGGGACATGGGTTCGAGCCCTGGTTCGGGAAGATCCCACATGCCGCGAAGCAACTAAGCCCCTGCGCCACAACTACTCAGCCTGTGCTCTAGAGCCCGTGAGCCACAACTACTGAGCCCACGTGCCACAACTACTGAAGCCCACTCGCCTAGAGCCCGTGCTCTGCAACAAGAGAAGCCACCGCAATGAGAAGCCCATGCACCGCAATGAAGGGTAGACCCCGCTCGCCGCAACTAGAGAAAGCCCATGTGCAGCAATGAAGACCCAATGCAGCCAAAAATAAATAAAAATAAATAAATTTATTTTAATAAAAAGGAATCTCAGTAAGTCTGGAATAAATTATGATAGAAAAATCATGAAAATCTTTAAAAAAAGCCCAAAATATATAATGAATATCATTGAAGAGATAAGTGGAAATCTTGTAACCATGAATCAAGAAAAGATTGCTATACATGATTAAAGAAAGAGAAGAAGAACAAATAGTTCTTAGAAATTAAAAATTTGATATCTAAAATTAAAATGTCACCAGATGGGAGAGGATATAAAGTCAAGGAACTCTCCAAGAGAGTATACAAATAAAAACATTGAAAATAGGAGAAAATAAAAATTAATAATAGCTTACTCAGCCATTAAAAACAACGAAATAATGCCATTTGCAGCAACATGGATGGACCTGGTAATTTTCACACTAAGTGAAGTAAGTCAGACAGAGAAAGACCAATATCATTATGATATCGCTTATAAGTGGAATCTAAAAAAAAAAAGTGATACAAATGAACTTGTTTACAAAACAGAAACAGACTCACAGACTTAGAGAATGAATTTATGGTTACCAGGGAGGAAGGGTTGGGGAGAGGGGTAGATTCAGAATTTGGGACTGACATGTACACACTGCTATATTTTAAAAAGATAACCAACGAGGACCTACTATAAAAAAAAAATTAGTAATAGGAACACTAAACAAGTAAAGAAAATAAAAAAGAGAATTATTAACATCAAGGAAAATTAAGAGTGGTGACCATAAAAACACAGATTGCCTTAGTGTTATATAATATTTGAGTAGATACAATAATGTAAAAACAAATTATTAATTTGACCAAAAATTAAAATATAATTTTGTTCTAAGGAAGGCGGGGGTGACATTGATGGAGAAGAAATGAAGGAAGGGGATATGGGAGACAAGCCCTAATTTACCATTATAGGATATCAACAGAAAATTTCTAAAACTGGTAAGTCAAAAAAATAGTAATCTAAGCACGTCACTTAGAAATACGGAGGCAACCTCATACCTGTCAGAATGGCTATCATCAAAGAGTCTACAAATAACAAATGCTGGAGAGGGTGTGGAGAAAAGGGAACCCTCCTACACTGTTGGTGGGAATGTAAATTGAGGCAACCACCATGGACAACAGTATGGAGGTTCCTCAAAAAACTAAAAATAGAGCTACCATACGATCCAGCAATCCACTCCTAGGTACACAGCCAGAAAAAACAAAAACACTAATACAAAAAGATACATGCACCTCAATGTTCACTATTTACAATAGTCAAGATATGGAAGCAACCCAAATGCCCATCAACAGACAAATGGATAAAAAAGATATGGTGTAGATACATACAATGGAATATTACTCAGCCATAAAAGAGAATGAAATTCTGCTATTTACAACAACATGGATAGACCTAGAGAATATTATGCGTAGTGAAATAAGTTAGGAAGAGAAAGGCAAATACTGTATGATATCACTTGTATGTGGAATCTAAAAAATAATACAAATGAATGTATATGCAAAACTCACAGGTTTTGCACCAAAGGGAAGAGGGAAGAGGGGAGGGGCTAATTAGGGGTATGGGATTGAAAGATACAAACTACTATATATAAAATATATAAGCAACAGGGGTGTATTTTATAGTACAAGGAATTGCAGCCATTATCTTGTAATAACTTTTAACGGAGTATAATCTGTAAGAATACTGAATCACCTGAAACTATATTGTAAATCAACTATACTTCAATTTTAAAAAAAAGGAAAGATGAGGTATTGTCAACAGTAGCCCTCTTTCTTAGCCTTTTCCCCACTTTTTTTCAGCCTTTCAAGGAGAAATGTACAATAAATATTAATAAAATATATGCTGAAAAGGTGTTTGTTTTTTTGGCCGCACTGCACAGCAGGTGGGATCTTAGCTCCCCCCAGACCAGGGATCGAACCCAGGCCTGCTGCATTGGAAGCGCAGAGTCTTAACCACTGGACTGCCAGGGAAGTCCCAAAAAGGTGTTTTTAAAAAAAGAAATATGGAGGCCAATACCATAGAAACTGGTCAGAAGATCTGAGGGTGATTGCTTCTATAGAACAAAACAAAATGGGTTTGAGAAGGGTGTGAACTGGTGTGCTTTGTTATATGCCTTTAAGTCTCAACTGACTTTTAAAAACATTCACATGTATTATTTTGATGAAAATTCAAATGAAATTTAAAATAATAGTTATGGATATGTAAGCATCCTTTTCACTTCTGTACACTAAGCCCATATATTAAAATTAACTTCTGGACCACTCGACAGTTGTCTCAAACTTAGTATGTCTATCACTAAACTAATTTAACCTCATCCCCTAAACACGCAGCCCTTCAAACCTGTCTTCCTCTTACATAGCCCAGTGAAGGAAATGGCAGCACTCACCCACCATCAAAGACAAAAACCCAAGCTTCACAGTCAAGTTCTCCATCTTCCTTAACCTGCCTATCTTTTCAATCACCGAGTCCTAGCAATTCCATCTCCTAAATATCTTACAAATCTCTCTCTCCCCACCCACTGCCACTTCCCTTGACTAATCTACCATAGCCTCTTGCAAACAACACAACAACAGCCTCCCTATTTGTGTCTCTACAACTATGATCCCCCTGCAGTCCATTCCCTCCACAGACAGAGTCATCTACCACGGGTCGGCATGCTAGGGATGCACAGGCCAAATCTGTCTGTTCTGGTAAGGCTTGTAGTTAAGAATGGCTTCTTCCACATTTTTTAATAGTTAAAAAAAATCAAGAGGAAAACATTTTGTGGCATGTGAAAATTATATGAAAATCAAATTTCAGTGTCCCTAAATAAAGTTTTATTGGAACACAGCCATACTCATTCATTTACATATCATCCATGGCTGCTTTGAGGCCACAACGGCAAAGCTGTGTAGTTGAGACGGAGACCACATGGCCCTCAAAGCCTAAATTATTTCCTATCTGATCCTTCATGTTTGTCAACCCCTGTTCTCAACCATAAATTTGATCATGTCACTGTTCTGCCTAAAACCTTTCCTTAGTGCCCAACTGCTTTTATGATCAAATCGAGTGCTTGAAAGGAACTGGATATTTGAGACCCTGTTCAACTCTCCAGTCTTAAATTTTCCCACTCCCTTGCTTCCCTCTATCAGGGAATTGCTAGCAAACTGCTGAACCCCTCAATCATGTCATACCCTCTCTTGCTTTCAGGTTTTAGTACGTGGACCATTCCTCTGCTTAGAAAACATCCCTTCACCTCACCCAACTGCTACTTAAGCCTCAAGTGTCACTTCCAAAGTGTTTCCAAAGTGTTACAACCCTGGATTGTAATTTTCTGTTCCCTTATGTGTATATCCCACTAGAATATAAACTCTGGGAGGGCCAGTGACTATGTCTCTATTATCCTCCACTGAATCCCAGTGCCTAGAATAGTACATGGCACAAAGAAGATGCCACAGGGAATGTTTAAATGAAGAAATGCTTCAGCATATTGAACAGGTATATTGTTTTGCACACTCCTTAAACCTTTTGTTTACATTAAACACAGTATATATATCCAAACAAAAAGAAATTATTTGGGGTGGAATACCGGTATTATGGTAAATGTTTCTATCAGATCCAAAGTAGTATTACCTATCTAAGTGAGCAAACCGTTAAAGAACAAACCATTTTCTTTCACCTGCTATGTATGTAAGTGTAGTCCACTTAATCTGTGCGTATGTCCTAACAAGTTCTTTAAATTCTCCATTTTCAGACCTTCTGTAATTCTGTACATTCTCTACACTTTTAAGTCAGAAAGTCATTAAGCTTGAAAGCACAATAGGTGCATTACCTTTATTCTCTACCAACCCCAATATCTACCATTTTATGTTCCCATAAGATCTTTTTTTTTAAATGGAGTGGGAATATATATATTTCATACAAATATTATATAATAATAGTGTTTAGATGCTAGAGGTTGACAAATATTGTTCTGAAAGTCAGCTCTGTTATTAGATGGATGCTCCTAACAAGTTAGTTAACTTCTTAACCTTTAGTCTCTTCAACTGTAAAATGGGGATAAATAATAGTAGCTAACTCATAGGTTACTGTAAGAATTAAATGAGATATTACTTATAAAATGCTTAGCATTTAGCACAGAGCCTGGCAAATAATAATGTCCAGAAGTGTCAGCTATTAAATTAATATTAAAACTATCATTTCATAAGTCTGCTTTAATAATTATAATACTAGAGGCTTATGTTTTAACTTCCTTTTGCCAATGAAATAGCCCAACATCTGACAGACCTTTCTCTCTAGGAAAGAATGAGAAAAAGTGCAAATAAAGTGAGCATAGAAAATAAAAATGTGAATTCTGTACCTTTTCTCAGGAATGTTACTCCGAGAAGAAATTTTATCACGTGCTTTGTAAGAATACATCTTATACAAGCTGGGCTGCTTTTAAACATATAAAGGTCCATTCAAAATAAAAAAGAGAGAAGTTTCAAAAAACTTTTAAAAATGAAGAAAATAAGATACAAAATATTACAATGATTTTTCCTTCTACTAACCAACTCATCAAATAAATCATCTGAAAATAAGCTCATGAATTATCAACTTCTAGGGCTCTAAGGGCAGTTAGAAATGCAATGTAATAACCCATTCCTCCCAAATCTATAGAGAATATATGATCAAAAGAATTCTTAGAGACATAGCAAGAGCCAAAGTCACAAAAATGATTCAATTACATTGTGTATACTTTAATAAAGCAGAAAAAGTTCACCAGAAAATTTAATTCAGCACATTTGTCCATCACCCCATCACCCTAGTATCCTCATTAGTGGAAGTCAGCCTGTGGATAAGTATTTAATCTGTAATTACCTAAGATCCAAAACAAAGCAAGAAAAGGTGTGTATGTGTATGTGTCTATGTAACTGTAATGAGAACATTTAGGAATCAAGCTTATTTTTCCATCAACTAAAAGTATTATAATATCCAAAAAAAGATATTATAAGAAGTGTTATAATATCCAAGCCAAATGAGTTATAAAATAGGCTTAAAAGAAAAAAAATAAACATTACTTTCTCAGATACTCCTGTTCTATTAACCCCAGAAATCATATATTGCATATTTTATTCTGTTCATATCATTTCTCTTTCCACATTTTATATCTTGTTATATATGGCATTTTCCTCTTTGAGTGGAAATAAAACAGAAAAATTTTAAACAGGAGTTGCATCAATAAAGAATGAAACAATAAGAACCATCTCTTTAATAAAAACAAACCTCTGAAGTTAATTCAATTGGTACTTGATTAGAGGAATGTTGCTCAGTGCCGGAAGATACAGCTTTAGAACTGAAAAATAATAAAATTAAATTATCTCAAATGTTAAAATGTAATTTTCTAATACATGAATCATCACACCTCCGCTCTTAGAAAGGCAGATAAGGTTATAGTACTCTTTTAGAACTGATGCTTTTTTAAATTGATTTTTCCCCTCCAAAGAGCTTAAGCTCCTCAAAGTCTAGATTTAAAACTCTTTAAAGTTTTTTAAGTTTAAAAGTAAAACTGATAATCTAAAGTACAACATAATGGTTATAGTCAATAATGCTGTATTATAAACTTCAAAGTTGCTCAGAGACTAGATCTTAATTGTTCTCTACACAAAAAAGAAGTGCTATTCAAGTGATGTGATAAAAGTGTTATCTAACGCTATTGCCATAATCACAATGCAATATATAAATGTATCAAACCAACACTTGTACACTTCAAACTTACACAATGTTAAATGTCAATTATATTTCAATTTTAAAAAAAACTGAAAAATGATCGATAACATGTAAAGGTACTAAAAAGTAGGCAACACGTGTATTCCCTCCCTGTCCTCTATACATAAGGAGGAAATATGGTATATAGATTCTTCAACATTTACCTCAATGTTGCTTCTTTATTTTATTTATTTATTTATTTTAATTGAAGCATAGTCGATTTACAATATTGTATTAGTTTCAGGTGTACAGCAAAGTTACTTGGTTATACATATATGTATGTATGTATCTATATTCTTTTTTTTCCTGATTCTTTTCCAGTATAGTTTATTACAAGATACTGAATATAGTTCCCTGTGCTATACACTTCTTTAATCAGCTTTCTAAGTACTATAGTCATCTACTTCCTATTCACCAAGACAGTGTTCTTTGATTTATCATTCTCCCTACTGACTCCCACACCAAATTGACTAAAAGAGGTATGCAAAAATGATTATCTTTACTCATTTTACTTTGTGTGGTACCTGTAAATTGGTACAAAATGAATCATTTAAATAACAGAAAACCCAGAAGTTAAAAAAAAAACTGAAAAATGAACCTTGGTAGAAAAAACTCCTTTGGACACAATTCTTCATTAGCTTGAAGGATAAGGCTCTGAGGAGATTCTGTTTTGGCTTTAGCAAGCCAATTTCTACCCTATTGAACACAAGAAGAATCGTTTAATGCACAGTGAGAAAATTCAATCAAACAGGCAGACTTCTACATTGTTTACCTTTTCTGTAAGGGTGCAAATCTTTACAAATTTGCTTTGCCCAGGAACTTCTACCAAGAATCCCTCAGTTATGAGCTGATGGGAAAAAACCTTCCACCAATTCTCTGTGTGATCCTTGCCAGTGCCAAAGAAATTGTGACTGCGATATTTATCTTCAAGACGCTGGGAATTCTGAAATTAGGCATAAAATCAATTTCTTAAAATGTTTATTTAATTAAACAGGAGATGTAAAACACGAAATCGTCTATTGATTCTTTGGCTTTAACACTAAATTTCAGCTTTAAAAACCTACGGAATTTTTATACCCCTCCTGCTTGCTCTGATTACTTAAGTCACAAATAAATACACTCAAAATAATGTTCCTTTTCTGTTTTAAATAATGGCAGGAAATTTCATATATAAATCACATGCATTTCCCAATGCATAGGTTTGGATATATTTGGAATACTTAACCTTTGCTATTTAGACCTTTTATTAACATACTCACATTGTTTGAAAACTGTGATCATAAATCTACAGCTCAAGACTTGAAGCATGGGTGTTAAAGGCAGTGTGACCCATAGCTGGTAATCAGTGAGTGCAGTGCCAAGACTCAGGTTTCCACTGCGTTGTTGTCATTACTGTGCTTTTTGTCCGTGATGTTTCAGCAAAGTTTACTTAATCATTTCTGATTTAGCTGCTTCACTGAGATACATCAGAAAAAGCAGGTGCATGCTAGACAGTTGATGCTTTTGAGATATTCTTCCCTAAGTGACCAGGGGATTCCGATCGGAGACTCTTCATAGCCATCAAGGTCTAGAAATATTGGGGAAGCTAGCCCATCATATGCAATTCTCTTGTCCTCTAATGGAAATGACTCTCCCCACCTTCACTCTCCACAGAGAACTTTTTCTATTCACTTGGCCCTCTGATTACCCCTTTTATAAAATTTTGTTTATTTATTTATTTTTGGATGCGTTGGGTCTTCGTTGCTGCCCACAGGCTTTCACTAGTTGCGGCGAGCGGGGGCTGCTCTTCATTGCGGTGCACGGGCTTCTCATTGCGGTGGCTTCTCTTGTTGCCAAGCACAGGCTCTAGGTGGCTTCTCTTGTTGTGGAGCACAGGCTCTAGGCGCACGGGCTTCAGTAGCTGTGGCACGCGGGCTTAGTAGTTGTGGCTCGTGGTCTCTAGAGCGTAGGCTCGGTAGTTGTGGCGCACGGGCTTAGCTGCTCTGAGGCATGTGGGATCTTCCCAGACCAGGGCTTGAACCCATGTCCCCTGCATTGGCAGGCAGATTCTTAACCACTGTGTCACCAGGGAAGTCCGTGATTACCTCCTTCATCCATCCTACACATCTAAATACTACTTTTAAATGTGTATGGTGCTATATAAACATAGGGCTCTCTGGAGAATTGCTTCTATCTCATGTATTTGCGGTGAATACAGCAGATTGTAATTCGAGGGTCATTCTGCCCTTCCTCCACTGTGACTTCTACCACAGAATCTGGGAAGTTACAAACACTATTTCTCAAACTTTCTTTCAACTAGGCTTCTGGATGTGATTTAAGTTCCACTAAACAAAGGTATTTTTGCATGACATCTACACGCAGGAAGTGAGGCAAAGGGGTCTACTTTGCTGTATTTGCAGGTATGCATGACTGTGGAGGGGTTTGCTTTTTATGAGAAAGTGTTAGCAAAGAACCTAGCATACAGCTTCTAGCTTCCTAAGTAACAGGAGACATTCATTTTGTTGATACAGATTATAGAAGGCAGCTCCCAGATCAAGCAGAAGTAGAACCTTCCTGATTGTTACAGCTCCCTATTCAGCGCAGTTTGGGGTCAGGCACAGACAGATAACTTCTTAACCACAGAAGAGGCAACTGCTTCCATGGAAGATTATTTTGCAGTATAATCTTATCAACAATACTCTAAGCCACTTAACACCCAGTAATAAATACCTTTCTGTTTAAATTCGCTAGACTGATCATGTGCTTCATAACAAATACTGTATTTTAGGTTATATTCATGTTTCAAAAACATTCACTCCTTGAGTATGTCAAGAAGTTCCTGTATTCTAAAATTTTCAATATGAAATGCAATCTAAAATTTGAGAAATAGGTACATCCTGTCACTCAACATTTTTATATTTCATCTATACTCTAATGATGGTTTAACAATCAGTGCATATTCAAATCCAGGGATCAAAATGAAAAGAATATACAGAATGAGTTCCAGCAGACATAACTCAAGCACTAGAAGCCTCACTATATTACAAATGTATTGGTTTTGTTCAACTTATGAAAACGTTACGGTTACAAGTTTATCATTTTGGAATGTTAAAAATGTGAATACAAGTGAAATAACCTAAAAAGACTGATCCCTCACATAAAGAAATCTAGGCTGAAATTAGATTAGATTAGGAAAGTTCCCATCAGAGACACATCAGTGCCCAGATACACTGAGCTTTTTTAAAACACAGGCTTCTTATAGGTTTAATTAACAGGGTCTGTAACGTGCATTCTAAAAATAAAAATTGAAATTGAATTTTGTATTAAAATAGCTAAGTAATAAAGCTTTAGTATCACGGTGATTATATTTACAAAAATTGTACTAGAACAAGATTCAGAGAAACAGAAACACCCACGTACAACGTGGCACCTTTTTCCACAACAACCTCTACTACCTATACTAACTGACTTTGGTTTGATTTGTGTAGAATGTTTAAAATCAAACATCACAGAATTTCAGATCTGGAAGGAACATTGGAGCTCATTGATCTATCTAGTCATTTTTACTCAGATACAATCAGAGGCTCAAGGATGTTAAGCGGTAGCCTAAGGTCATAGAGGTAAGACTAGGACACAGTCCTCCAGACCACTACACCAGGGATATATATATACACAGACACCAATATACATAATATACATATATACTGATTGTAGTTAGTGCAACTAGACCACCTGGGTTCAAGTCACAGCTCCAGTACTTACTAGCTTTTGGATTTTGGGCAAGTCAGTTACTTAACTTACCTGTGTTTCTATTTCCTCAGCTGCTATACAAGTATAATAATACTTCTTATCCTTTAACTTAGCCTGCCTTCCTTAACATAAAAGCAAAAGCCCTGACTCAGTATTAAGTCAGTTTTCCCAGAACATTTGTAATGGCATTCTACACCTGCTGGGGGCTTACCTTTATAGTAGGAGAATCTATTGCTTGCAAACTAATAACACCAAAGACATTAAGTTGCCTAACTAGTACTTATTAGCAATCTGGACACTAGAAATTATTCCTCTAGCCTTCCCTTTCGTAAGCAGAAAACAACCTGAAGTGAATGAACACATTTGCTGATATAAAGAAATGAGATGTTCTTCTAATTGGTAGGGGTAACTGTCCCTTCCCCTCATGATCAATAATCATCGTGAATACTGTGTACTGTGTGAATAAATTTACACTGTCATGTTTCCATGGCAATCACCATACATCAAACGAAATATTTCTGCTCTTCGACACAGATCATTTTGTTTTAAAGAAATCATATTCCCTTTTCAACAAGAAATCCAAATTTACCCAAGTAACATTTCTGAAAAAACAGAATAAGGATTTTCAACAACAAATGTCTTAAAAAAAAAACAAAAACCACAGATGTCTAACAATTTCTTACTCTGAGCGAGGCATCTTCCATTAATTACTTATATGTTCTAGTAACTTAATTTTCCAGGTTAACCCACTGACGAAGTAAAACTGCTAAGGATGAGGAAGCTGCCATAGTGGATATAGGGATTTGGGCACTGATTTCAAGGAGTGCACAATTATACATGCACATATCCCTTACCAATCATAAATCTTCATTCTAGTATCTCTAGATCATTCAACCTAAAAATACAAATTTAAAACTGCATGTGAACAGCATAATAAAACAGACACAGCACTAGAACGTTACTTAGGAAAGCTGTCGCTCATCCTGCTTCTGGCACAAAGCAATGACCTGACATGACACAGGTCATTTAACTTTCTGGGACTTAGTATTAACCGCTGTATAATAAGGTGGTAGAGTTAAATAATCTTTTTGCTCTAAGAGTCTCTACTTCTATGGGACAAAGTCTCAAAAATGGAAGTTATCAACCCATTCTTCTCCTTTAAAAAGCAGGCTGGAAAAATCAGGGTACCAAACGGATGCATCAGGGAATTTGGAAACCTATGAACAGATCAATGTGTGTTAGAATAAAGGGAGCCGAATGGCCAGAGCACAAGTCCCAAAGGATCACTTTCTAATAAAAGCCAAATCTTCCGCACCATTATCTGATAGAGAAAACAAACAAACTTGCCACTTCTCTAAATTAACTTCTTTAAAAATGACGATTGCTTGTTGTGGTAGTTCTTTCAGCTGGGAATGCCACATTCCTCTCCACCTCCTTCCCTCAAGTTGGCTCTCAATGCCCAAATCTACTCTTATCATCCACAGAATAGAAAAGCGCCAGTGATACCATAACAAAGACTTCTCTAGTTTCACAGCCATTAACAAGCACTCTCTCTTCAGAACTTAAATAATACTTTATATCTATTCATATGTCCCCCATCTCTTTTTATGCTGCGATATACTTATTTATTCTCAAGTAACACACCTTCCATATTAGATGATGTCTCATCTAATTCCACTTTGAATTCCCCACAAAACAGAGTACAGTAGCTCACACAAAAATAGATGTTTTGGGAATTCCCTGGCGGTCCGGTGGTCAGGAGTCCATGCTTCCACTGCAGGGGGCACGGGTTTGATCCCTGGTTGGGGAACTAAGATCCCGCATGCCATGCGGCGCAGCCAAAAAAAAAAAAGTTTAATAACTAGCAGAAAAAAGTAGTTATAAACTCTTAAGAAGTTTTAGATTCCTGTGTTCTTAAAGTACAAAATAAGTCCATAGTTTCTGTCTATATTTTAACTAATTTTTTTTTTCTTTTGCCTCTTTCCCAGTTCCTACAGGCCAAGGAAGTTCACAGCTGCCGCTTCAGGGCTTAAAAAGGTCATTTCTGGGACTGTTATTCTATGTGAACAATAAAGCCAAAATACAAAGTTACAATAATTATCTCTAGGAATATATTTCAACCTGATGAAATAGCTTGTCCAAAAAATTAAACGGATAACCCTCTCCTGTTAGAAAGTTTGAAAATTATAAAGGGTAATTAAAACTAACAATAGTTTCCCAATGGCTGCCTATAGTCAAAGCATCTTTTATCAAAAGTGTTCTCTAATTCTGGAGCACTTTGATAACATGATCAGGAGAGAGGTTTCACTTAATCTCCTGATTATGCAAATTAATGACTGTGCCTGTTTTCTAATCTGTAAAATTAAGATAACTGCATATCTTAATACTTAATTCACAAAGATGTTTAAAGATTTTTATGTGGGGCTTCCCTGGTGGCGCAGTGGTTGAGAGTTCGCCTGCCGATGCAGGGGACACAGGTTCGTGCCCCGGTCCGGGAAGATCCCGGGAGAGGCCACAACAGTGAGAGGCCCGTGCTCCGCAACAGGAGAGGCCACAACAGTGAGAGGCCCGCGTACTGCAAAAAAATAAAAAAAGATTTTTATGTGGTGAGCTATTTAGACCCCTAAAACAAAGTTCCTTAGGCAATATTTCTGCTATTTAATTTCCAGCAAAACTTATGCTTTAAAAACAAAATTGTAAACTCCATTCACAAACACCTGAATGGCCTGAATAATCATTTATACTATTTTTTATACTATTTTTAAACATCCTATGTAAGAGAGGAGAATCATGTGCTGCTGAAATATTTGTTTCATATGTACAAATATTACCTCTTTAAATGAACTCCAAGAGTTTCAAGTTTAAGATACTTAATCATCTTACAAATGAAAATTATCTGTAAAGATATTTTTTCCTGAATTAGTTAAGGTAGATGATTCACTAAATTCTCAAAGGAAATACAATTATAATTCAAAAAATGATATCCCAGTAGATACCAAGATCACTGAAATTGGGGGAAAAAAACTTGCCTTATTTTCACTGTATTTAATGTCTACAAATTTTCGTTAAGTGGCTTTTTAAAAAAGTTTTACACCTTTATCTAGCAAGGGTAATATAAAATTTCACAAAGAATAAACTTCTTAATTTGCAGACTCCCAGAAGAGACTGTTGGTATAAGCAGTCTGACTTGGTTTTCAAATAATAGGTGAAATCTGATCCGTCTTGTGACCAGTTCAAGTTTGTCTAGGAGCCCACTTCCACTTATCTGTTGATACTGGATACTGCTGGATTACACCAAATTAAAACAAGGATAATTTTTATAAATTATACATTCAGCTGGGATACACAGGTTTTAAAGATGACAGAGACAAGAAATTTTCATAGATCTCAATTACATTAAATCTATCCCTTGCAACTTAAATTCTTTTTTTAAAAAAAATAGCACTCATATCAGCTAAACCAAGTTCCTTAGGCAACACTTCTACTGTTAAATTTCTAACCAAACTTGAGATTTAAGAACAAAATTTTAAACTCCATAATCTAAAAACATCAGTACCTGAAGTTAACATATTTTTAGCATTTCATTAAAAGTATTTCACAACTGGCTAACTTAATAAGTCCCTTTCAAAACAAAACAAAAACTCAGAAAGTAAATATTTACACAAAGTATTTGAGAATTTAAGAAATGAATGCTGACCTAAATTATTTTTAAAATTCTACATACAGGGCTTCCTTGGTGGCGCAGTGGTTAAGAATCCGCCTGCCAATGCTAGGGGACACGGGTTCAAGTCCTGGTCTGGGAGGATCCCACATTAGTTGCTGTGGAGCAACTAAGCCTCTGAGCCGCAACTGCTGAGCCTGCATCTAGAGCCCGCGAGCCACAGCTACTGAAGCCAGGGCACCTGGAACCCGTGCCCCGCAACAAGAGAAACCACCGCAAAGAGAAACCTGCGCACCGCAACAAAGAGTAGCCCCCGCTCACCGCAACTAGAGAAAAGCCCACACACAGCAACAAAGACCCAACACAGCCAAAAATAAATAAGTAAAATAGATAAAGAAAGAAAACAAAACTTAAAAAAAAAATTCTACAAAGTGAGAATTTTAATCTCCACTTTTAGTATATTTTTAATAAATATATGTAGTTGCAAAGGAGTCTATCTCCCATTTTTGGTTTATTCAACTAACGTCAATATGTACTACTTAACTTTACAGACTTCTAAATCAGGAATAAAATCATATAAACAAAGGGACTACAGAAAAAGCTCTCTGGCTATAAGGGTCATGACCTACTCATATTTGTACCTGCAACTGTTAGCATAATGCTGGCACACTAATCACTCAAAAAAAAAAAAAAAAAGTAGCAGAATTAACTATTCATTGGTGAAGAAAAAGAACTTTCTTAGAATTTTAAATACTTCTGATTAGAAATAAAATAGAAGGAAAGAAAAAATATACTACCAAATATTATTATTGAACTTAGACATTTACAAATAATCACTGAAATTTAAATTTTGCTCAAAAAATTTACTACTTCACAGGGCACCAAGATACAAATTTGTTCTACCTGTCCCTTGACACAATGAAAGTAAACTTTTCTTAATTGTCCTATAAAAGACCAGTCTAGGGATTCATCTAACTGCAGTGTAATAAACTGAAACAGACAGCCTGGAAGCATTGTCTTAATGATACACACAGGTTTTGTCAAAGGTAATGAATGCAGTGCTTAAATGGAACTTAATATGACTCTCTGAGTTCTGATAACTAAAGCCAAAGCTATAATTGTAAAACAGCAAACCTCTGAAGAAAAGTGTAATAGGAGTAAAAGAAGAACCCTGAAGGTGACTCACAGACATACTTACAGATCCTCGGAGAAATAAAATTGGAACCCCAATTCCAAACTTTTCGCCTAAGATGGTCACGGCAGATAAGAGCTGGAATGCTTGTGGACCAAAGTCCTGTAACATATCATCTGAGTCATCAATGGAAAAGCAGCGATCCAATCTAAATAAAAACAATATGTAAAGAAAGCTTAGCCAAGGCATGTACCTTTAGAAATAAAAAGATTTAGTGTAACAGTTAGCCCAGTAAAAAAATATCTCAAATGTGCCAACTGCTTCAGAAGCTAAAAATAAAGTTCAATACAGCTGAGAGCATGTAAAGTATGTAAAACATGAAATATAAACGATATATAAACGATAATATAGTATCACAGGTATGTTATATTAATGGTTCTCGACACTAGTGCCCTAGGATCCAAGTTTCACAGGAGGTATCTTGGGCCATAGAAAGAAACAGGTTCAAGCAAGCAGAACGCAGGATTACAGCTCAAATAGCTCCACTTGATCTACTGTATAAATACTGGACTTTTGTGTTAGGTTTTGATGGAAGAAAAGGTTTATTGCCCACCCCCACCCCTGTCGCAAAACTTCTGAACTGAAAAAACACATCTCCTATGCAAGAAGTTGTTAAAGTCATACTTTAAAATATGACCAAAGATTATAAGCTTTTCATGTAAGTCCATTTAGAAGTTAAATTCCTAAGCCATCCTTCAGGTAGAAATTATCATTAACACAAATTAATGAAATTCTCATTTGTATTAATTCTCATTAATACAAATGAGAATTCTTTATGGCATGTTGAGAACAAGAGGACTCAGAAAAAATCAACTAATATAGTTCAACTACCTAATTCAGTTGCTTTCTTTATAATAAATATCTTTGAAATAGCAATAAGAATATAGTCAGTATTCTAGATATATTTTTAGGTAAAAAAAGGCTATGTTTAGGTTTATTCTCTATTTTAACTTCTTTAATAGGATACTTAGTTCATTAATTTTCTTTTCTAATACGAGTATTTAAAGCTATCAAATTCCCACCAAGTATCACCCATGCTGCAGCATACAAGTTTTAATGTATATTTACTGTAATTATCACTAAGTTCTAAAAATGTTTTCATTTCCAGTTTTGAGTTTTTTCCTTGATTGACGAGTTACTTTAGAGCATTATTTTAAATTTCCAAATGAATGAGAATTTCCCTTTTTATTCTCTTGTTTACTTCTAATTCTGTTGCATTCTGGCCAGATAATGTGGTATGTTTGAAAGCAATACACTGAAAACTTGAGATAGGTTACAGTCTAGTACAGAGGTCAGAAAACTCTTCCTATTAAGGGCCAGACAGTAAACAGCTTAGGCTCTGTGGGCCAGACAATCTCTGTGTCACAACTACTTAGCTCAACTCTGCAAAAACAGCCATAGATAATATATAAACAAAAGGGCATGGCTGTATTACAAAAAAACTTTATTTACAAAAACAGGCAGTGAGTGGATTTGGTCCATGGGCCATAGTTTGCCACCCACTGCTTTAATATATAGTACATTTTAAAATTTTTATTTATTTATTTTTGGCTGTGTTGGGTCTTCATTGCTGTGCACAGGCTTTCTCTAGTTGTGGCGAGCAGGGGCTACTCTTCGTTGCGGTGCACAGGCTTCTCATTGCGGTGGCTTCTCTTGTTGTGGAGCACGGGCTCTAGGCTCACGGGCTTCAGTAGTCGTGGTTCACGGGCTCAGTGGTGGTAGCTCACGGGCTCTTGGGCACAGGCTCAGTAGTTGTGGTGCACGGACTTAATTGCTCTGTGGCATGTGGGATCTTCCCGGACCAGGGCTCGAACCCGTGTCCCCTGCATTGGCAGGAGGATTCTTAACCACTGCGCCACGAGGGAAGTCCCTATAGTTCATTTTTATAAATATGCCATCTATGTTTGAGAAGTGTAGTCTCTAATTCCGCGCTTCCCAGCCCATGTGCTACAAATGGATTATAGGTGTGCTGAAGGTTAATCCCTTGAGACCTTAGGGTTCTGAACAGAACCTAGACTCAATGAGCCATTAACTATGTGGGTCACGAAGTAAAAATGTTTGAGACACATTACTCTAATTGCTTGGTAAAGGCTTCTACATACTGCATGTCCAATAAATCAGACTTGTTACCATATTGACCAGATTTTCTATTGCTTCCTAATTTTTTGATTGCTTAACCTACCAATAACTAGAAATTATAATCAACCTCTCCTACTTTGATGGTGGAATTGTTGATTTCTTCCAGCTTTTCTGTCACTCTGTGCTTTACATAGCTGTAGGGTTTTTTTTTAAGGTGCATGGAACAATTCTGTCCTCTTGGTGGAGGAACCATTTATCACTGCATAGAGACCATCTCCATCCCTAATAAAACTCCTTCTGTCTAACAGTATACAGCTACCACACCTAGTATATGGTTAGCTCAACTACATACACCATTTGTATTTTATTTTTTCAATTAATATACAGTTAAATTGATTGTATGTCTGTGTGTGTGTGTTAAGGTCTACAAATTTAAACACATTCATAGACTCTTCTATACATGCAACAAATCCATCACTGCAAAATACTCCCTTATGCTGTTGCTTCTTTGTAATCATAACCTTGACCCCATCCCTCTAATCTCTGGCAACCACTAATCTTTTCTTCATCTCTACAGTGCAGTTTTATGTTTGAGAGAATATCACATAAATAGTAGAACTGGCATTATTTCTTCTTTTGGGGGGGCAGAATTTGCCACTGAAATCACTTGGGCTAGGGAATTTTATTTTCACAAGTTTTTAACAAGGATCCAATTTCTTCAACGGTGGTAGGATTATTCAGGTTATGTACTTCATTGTGAGTGAGGGGGTTTTTTTGCTGTATTTTTTTTGTGTGTGTGAGTGAGTTTTATTAGTCTGAGGTTTTCAAGGAATTGGTCCATTTCACCTAAATTACTGAATGTATGTGCACTGAGTTATTCATAGTATTTCCTCATTATCCTTTTAATGTCTGTTGTGGCTAGAGTGAAATTCTCTCTCTCAGTCCTGATATTGGTAATCTGTGTCTCCTCGTCTTCTTTTTTTTTTTTCTTTTTAGAACTTTCTATCAGTTTTATTGACCTTTTCAAAGAATGAGCTTTTGAGTTCATTGGTTTTCTCCAATTGTTTTTGTTTTCTATTGATTTATGCTCTTATCTTTATTCTTTCCTTCCTTCTGCTTCCTTTTAGTTTTCTTTACCCCTATTTGCTAGTTTAAGGTGGAAGCTTAATTACTAATTTGAAACCCTTCTTCTACTGTAAGTATTTAATGCTCTAATCTTCCCTGTCAGTATCACTTTAGCTGTACCCCATACATTTTGTATTTTCATTTCACTCAGTTCAAAATATTTTCTGATTTACCTTGAGACTTCCTCTTTGACTAATGGATTATTTAGTAGTGTGTTACTTAATTTCCAAGTGTTTGGAGACTTTCCTGTTATCTTTCTGCTGTTGATTTCTAGTTTCATTCCATTTTAGTCAGAAAATGTATTCTGTATAAATACAAATCTTTTAAATGTGTTAAGGTTTGTTTTATGATCCAGAATACAGTCTATTTTCATGAACATTCCATCTGCACCTGAAAAGAACGTGTATCTGCTGTTGTTAGGTAGAATGTTTTATAAAAGTCAATTAGACAGTCTGCTGACAGTCCTGTTCCATTTCTTCTATTTTCTTACTGATTTTCTGTCTACCAGCTCTATTAATTACTGAGAGATGCTGAAGTCACCAACTCTACTTACGGATTTCTCTATTTCTCCTTTCAATTCGGTCAGTTCTTTTTAAAGTATATACACATTTAGGATTAGGTATTCTTGGATATAATGGTTATCTTTGTGTGTCAGCTTGGCTAGGCTATGGTACCCAGTCATTTGGTCAAACACTAACCTAGATGTTTCTATAAAGGTATTTTGTAGATGGGATTAACATTTACAATCAGTTGACTTTAGGTAAAGGAGCTGACCCTTGATAATGTGAGTAGGTCTCATCCAATCAGATGAAGGCCTTAAAGAGCAAAGACTGAGGTTGGCTGGAGAACAAGGAATTGTGACTCAAAACTGTAATGTAGAAACCCTGCCCAACTTTCCAGCCTGCTAGGCTGCCTACAGATTTCAGGCTTGCCAACCCCTACAACTGCATGAGCCAATACCTTAAAATTAACCTCTCTCTCCCTCTCTCATTATCTGTGTGTGTGTGTGTGTGTGTGTGTGTGCGCGCGCACGTGTGTGTGTGTGTACACATATGTGCATGTATTGCTCTGGAAAACCCTGACTGATACATTGGTAAACTGACTCTTTTATCATCATGTAATGCCCTTCTTTATCCCTGCTAATATTCTTCCTCCAAAGTCTCCATTATCTGACATTAAAAGTAACAACTCCAGCTTTCTTTTGATTAATGTTTTCATGGTATACAGTTTTTATCTTTTCATTTTTAATCTACCTATATAATTATACTTATAGTGGATTTCTTGTGGACAGCATTTGGTTGGGTCATATTTTTAAACCAATTCTAACAATTTTTGCCTTTAAATGGTTTTTTTTTTTTTTTTGCAGTACGCGGGCCTCTCACTGTTGTGGCCTCTCCCATTGCGGAGCACAGGCTCCGGACGCACAGGCTCAGCGGCCATGGCTCACCGGCCCAGCCGCTCCGCGGCATGTGGGATCTTCCCGGACCGGGGCACGAACCCGTGTCCCCTGCATCGGCAGGGTCCTCAACCACTGCGCCACCAGGGAAGCCCTAAATGGTATTTTTAGATCATTTACATTTAATATAACTATTGATATGTTTAGATTTAGGTCTATCATTAATTGGTTTATCTATTTATAAAAGTAAAAGATTGTAATACTGTTTGCTTTGTCCTCTTTTTTAATAAATAAATTCATTATTTTGTTTTTAAAAAACTGCAATACATATCACTCAACAAAAATTCAATTAAAAATTATTTGCAAAGGAAGAGAAACAAAGACTTTTAGAATGTCCATCTAGAAGAAGAAAACGTTACCTGGACCTGCAATTATCACAGCAATTTTCAGTTCCCATAATTCCCACGGAGGCCTTTCGTAGCTGTTTGTCTTCAAAATGAGACAAGATGAGTCTACCCAAGAGAAAATTTTAAATTAAATAAAAGAACAAAAACATATATGTTAAATTCATTGTTGAAAATAATGAGGTGAAATCAACGTTAACTGATTCAGCTGAGACCTCATTATTTGGCTTCAGTTTACTGAGGCACAAAGCAAGTTGCCTTAAAAATTCAGCACATATGTTAACACCATCAAATATCTTTTAAATACTTCTAATTACTTTGCAAAACTTTTTCCTTAAGAGTATTATCTATAAATCCTTGTTATTAACTGATATAAAGTAAATAATACTTACTGTCGCCTACACCTTCTGGAATAAAGATATTTTTCCATCTTTGCCATCATCTTTAATTTGTATAATCGAAACTTTTCATTGCATATTTCACTAAGGAGGCGCCTGTCAATTAAAAATACCACAGTACTATTAAAATTGTATTAGTTTTATTTCATTTATTTATTCCTGTTTATTTTTCATAGTCTGTAACATCCACAGTGCTAACAAGATAAAGAACATTTCTATCATCTCAGCAAGTTATTGTGTCCCTTCCCAGTCAATGCCCCCATAAGAGGCAAGCATTTTTCTGATTTTTATGAAAATTACTTTTGAAAGAATTCTACCCATGTCCAAGCATCAATTTTTTAGCTGCCTATGAAAAACTGTTAAAAGCCTACAGTTCTTCATTTTGACTTATATGCTACTTGCTTTTTTGGCAATCTTTCTACTATACGTGAATTTTTACCTTTTCCCAGTAAAAGGTTATTCTTTAAGTTATTTTATATGAGAAACTAAAGGCATCTAATCTATATAAGGAATACTGAAAAAGACTCATGATCTAAATATGAACCTTCATCACTTTAGCTCTTCAGAGAACTTCTCAGCCCTCTAAAAACTACCTCTTTGTATTATGGGGTATTATAGGACACCAATAAAATATCAGAATTAAGTTCCTTCCTCAAACAATTCTAATCATTTTTTTCCCCGTAATACTGAATTTATATAAACTTTTTAAATAACACTAAAGACATGGGTTTTTTTTAAGTTAATGCTGCTATTCCTCATCCTGACTCTGTTACTTCTACTCTCCTGTGAAGAAATTCCATGACTATTGCACATCAGATGATGATAATCCTCCAAATAGTCTTTGCATATCTTTCCGAGAATAAAGAAAAACCTGAGTTGAATAGGTTTCAAATATTTCAAAAGAAAATAATTTATCCACAAGATTTAAATGATAATACTGATCCTCATCACTCATGTTTTGACTATACAGCCTTCTAACTGACAAAAATACCTCTGTACAATTCTCAAGGATGACACCAACAGGGAATCTAGTTAAGTGAGTTCTGGAAAGTCTGGACACACAAATGATCTCTTATTCAAAAACATTCTTATCATTTGACACCACCAACCACCATGCCTTTCCATGTAATTTCCCTAAAAAGTCTCTTCCAACGATTGACTCTAGTTCCTAGGTCAACCATCTAACCTCATTATTCCTAGCTCATGGGCTAAATATTAGTTCCCTTTTTGGCTCTGTTTTGTTTGTTTAGCTCACCTCTTTCTCCTCAGATAGAAAGAACAAAGGAAACAATGCCCACACTCTGAGAGCTAGATCTTCCCTTATGTTTGGTTCCCATGATCTACATTTAACTAATCTCATCAGTTTCAGTAACAAATTGAAGAAAATAAAGTAACAAGTCTCTAACAACAAATCAAATGAATATTTATCCTTCTTTTAGGACCATCAAAATCGTTGCAGTTTAATATTCCACAGAATAAAAACAAGTTGAAAAAGAAGAAATATTCTAAAAACAATACCATAAATAGAAATCAGGTGGAGCCAGTGGAAGATTTGTTAAACTGAGATTAATTTGCAAATTATTCCCTTTAAACAAAGATTACAGTAACTATTGGGTTTGACTGCTTTAAATAATGGCAGGTGCAGACATTGAGACTTTGCCAATAAAAAATATAAAATTGCATATTTAGGCTGATGATTGGACAAGTTTCTTCTCTCAGTCACAGGATTCTAGCATAAGACAGACTAAAAATTTTGTGAATTACAGTGATCTTTTCATTTGAAAACCAGCTATTCCATTTATTCTAAAACTTTGTTTTTTCTAATAGAAGAGGTTTGTCACAAGGATGGCAGAGATCTGGGCCTCGATCCTTGCTGAAATTTTTTTTAATGCTGATTAACCCTATAGTTTTATTTCCTTTAATATAGATGCAAAGAACAACCTGTCTGTACTAAAGATTCAAGAATGGATTTCCTGGCACCACTATTTGATTACTAATCACTGTTACTCCCTGTTAAATCTTAATGAGATAACCATTTAAAATATCTTTTGAGACTCAGATACACAGGAACTATATCGATTGATGAACCCGCCAAGCCACAATATAAAACTTGGGCTGTTAAGTCTTCAGCATCTTTAACACAATGCACAAATAAAATCAGAACTGGTAGGAATCAACCTATGTTTGATGCAATCCCAAATTTAATTGTAGCATGCAGAGCTGTGTTCTATCCCAATTATTTTAAATTAGTTTATAAAAAGCTTCACATAGACACCAGTGTCAAAAGGAAAATAATAATTGTTCTGCTTAAGAAGATGGTGTATTGACTGTATGTTAAGAAACAAAAGTTAGTGACTACTCTTAAAAGAAGCTTAAAATTTATAGCAAACATTCTTACCTAATTAATCCCTATTCTTCTTTCATATCTCAAGTTAACCCATTACTTCCTCAAGGAAGCCTTATCTGACCTTTATAACTTGGTAAACACACACCCATAATATACTCCCTACTCGATGCAATTTCCTTCATAGCACTTAACACAGTTTTAATTTTATACAAATTTGCATGATCCTTTTCAAAAAATCGTTTGGTTATTCAAATTTTCAAACACAAAAGAGCAGTAAAATGAACACTATGCATCCACGGTTGTATGATTCTGTGACTAAGACCTGCTATTCCCATTATACAGTAAACTCTATAAAAACAGGTACTATATCTGCTTTTATTTACCATTGGATCCCCGGCACAAAGCATAATGCTTGGAACATAGTGAGTACTCCAAAAAAAATTGTTGAGTAATAAATAAAAACAAAAACTGTATTAGATAGCCACTCTCATCATTTTAATAAGATGGGCTAATAGGTCCATCCAAGAGCTCAACTTATGTAGCTATACGGAGGTGCATTTTGAAAACACCTCATCTCGGCAGGCCTATCAGTTACCACGTATAGGTTTTTTTTTCAATTTTTTTTTCTTATGGATGAAGAAAGAAGTTGGTAAACCTGCCCCTAAAACTTTGCAAGATGAAGTTTTCCTTTCAATATCAATCTCACAGAACATAAGTGCCAACAAGATACCTGTTTAGTACTTAAGTGGAATGGTTTTCCTGTATCTAGACACTAAGTACAATATTTTTTTCCATGGCAGTCAGTCAGTACAGGGCAACATGATCATTCACACACTGCCAAGGAGAGCTGGCATGCTCTCCTAGAACTAACAAAGGAAACAAAAATGGTAATTAGAGACAAACTGGGATTGGTAGAAGTCATTTAGAATAAGCACCATGGCAGCATGAGAAGAAAAAAATAAAAATAAAATAAATGGTATCTAAAGTAACTATGGCTGAAGACATATCAAAACTTGAGAGAACCTGAGGAGAAAAACAGCTCATCGATGAACAATATTAAAAAGTGTTCCACAGGGCTTCCCTGGTGGCACAGTGGTTGAGAGTCCGCCTGCTGATGCAGGGGACACGGGTTCGTGCCCCGGTCCGGGAAGATCCCACATGCCTCGGAGCAGCTGGGCCCGTGAGCCATGGCTGCTGAGCCTGTGCGTCTGGAGCCTGTGCTCCGCAACGGGAGAGGCCACAACAGTGAGAGGCCCGCGTACCGCGAAAAAAAGAAAAAAAAAAGTGTTCCATAAGATCTACGTTACACTCCCAGTATAGTGCTGTTTTAGTTAACTCTTCACACTAAATGAGGTATAGAAGAAATTAGGTCATCTCCTCTGGGTAGCAACACACCACAAAGTTCTTCTTAGACATCTTCTGTTTTCTTTTGGTTTTAAAGGCACTTATACATATTACTTTAAATTTTGAATGTTGTCTCAAATACTTTTGAAGCTTATGTGGAAAGAAAGAAATCTGCAAGGGTGAAAGCAATAAATGTTTTTACCTATTTGTGTTAATGTCTCCTGGAGCCCAAAGTACATGACAAGAACTTTGAAGTCCATCACGGCCAGCTCTACCAATCTCCTGGTAATATGATTCCATTTCCTTAGGAGCACCGTAATGAATGACTTGGCGAATGTCAGCTTTATTAATGCCCATTCCAAAAGCTATGGTAGCTATTACACACTGAGAATAAAATAACAACATAGTTTGACAATCATTTAGCAGAACTAAAACCTTACCTGTTTAACTTTTGTAAGAATAATTAGTTCATTAACTAATTAACTAAAGTCATGGCATGAAACTGAATTTAATATAATTTCAACCAATTGCTTATAGATTAAAAGATTATCTGCCCAATTTACAGATTAAGGAATGGTGACCATAAAATAGGATTTGTTCCCTCTCTATTAAAAGAAGCAAATAAAGTGGTTTCTCTGAATGCACATGAGTACAAGACAGAAAAGAGGCTCTTAAACTATTTATTATATTAAATGAGCCTTTGGGATAATATTATGAAGTTTCAAGACTGCATAGTATCTTAATGTTTTCTAGCATTATTCTAAGGTAGAAGGAAGCTTCTCATTAAAGATGGCAGAATGAATCATGAATTTATCTCTGCATATTTAAAAGGATAAAATTGGTAGAATATCTAATATGAATGAGTATACCAAGATCAGATTTACATGACTAGGGGAAATCTTAGGGAAAAATTAGTGGTAAGCACCAAAAAAAACTACACAAATTTTTTTTAAAGTATTAAGAATACAAAATATGTACAAGTAGCTGTAAATATACTACATGTCTTACAGATAAAAAGCATTTATAGAGAATACATAAATATATAATATTTGAAAATATATACTGATCTAACCAAAATTATGGTATTAATATTGGAAGTGAAGGGGGTAGAAACTTCTGGATGGGGTGAGAAGGGCAGGAAGGGATGTGAAAGAGCTACACCTTCATCTTTCATAGCAGGGAAACAAGAGATAATGCCTAAATCTCATAAGCAAATAAATAAATAAACTAAGTAGCAGCAGTATAAGCAAATTATTGTAAGATACAGCGGCAAACAGCAAAAGACTAAGCTAAAAGGGAGTAGGAAAAAGAAGCGGGGAAAGAATGAGGGGCTGACGCTTTTCATTGTAAGCACTGGAGAACGACTTGGTTTGTTAAACTATGTGTGTGTATAACTGATAAATATTAAAGTGCCATTTTTAAAAAATGTGTTAAGATGCACCAAGAGTAGAAAAAAGAGGAAGGGAGGGAGGGAGGACAAATAAAGGGAAGTATGAGAAAGATGAAAGAAAAATAAATCTAGGGATGGAAATAATATTAAGAAAAAGCTCTGAGTGAATAAAACTAGACAGTTTTGCTGTATTTAAGAGTAAATAAGCAATATAATAATTCCAACTCTTCTTTTTTAAATGTTATTTCTTATTCAATTTTTTCCAGCTTTATTGAGATATAACTGAAATATAACATTATGTAAGTTTAAAATATATAACATGATGATTTGATGTACGTATATACTGCGACATGATTGATTACCTCAGTAAGGTTACTTAACACCTCCATCACCTCACATGATTACTGTGTGTGTATGTATCTGTGTGTTTGTATGATGAGAACTTTTAAGATCTAATTTTCATCATATGATACTGCTTTTAGATGAGATCAACCTATTCTGCAGACATGATTTTCAAAATATCCTCATAGACGCTCAGGTGTAAATGAAGATATTTTATCCAATAATTTATTCATAACCTCATTCCAGACAGGAAAGGAATTCAGGCCATCTTGAAAAGGCAAATAAAATACAAAAGGACATAAAACTAAAAGTCAGGATTAAAAGAATGAATGGTCACAAACTCAAAATGCAAATCTACATCCAAATGTGGTTAGATTTGGTTATGGATAATAGGAAAGAAAAAAAATCTTGTCTCCCTCATATCTTTGGGAGATGTTTCTATCTAAATGAATAATTAGTAATACAGCAAGAAAGAAGAAACAATTGATCAATTATTGGCTCTCGATTGTTAAGATTCAATAAGCAGCAGCTAATAAATTTTATCTGATACTTTTCAAGCTCCAGAGATAATAGAATAAACATGTAAGCATTTAAGAATTTGGATAAAATCTCTACTCCAGGCAGCTGTAATAGCTGTTCCTAACTTTGGAAAGAAGAGGAAGAAAGAGAACAGATGCCTTCAGGCAGGTATGCATTGCATCATGACAATGCACAGTGAACTGCATAGACAGAGATCTAGATACAGAGGAAACTGATGACCTATTTGACAGAAAATGCAAAGCAGAAGTTAAGTTCTTCTCAATTTGAGATGACTAGTCCAGGCTTATAGCGACAGGGTGTGGAAATGATGTTGATGGTGTTGATTTAAACCTGCTCACATGGCTTGAATTTAAATCTTCCCAAATAATCTGTATGACACCCACTGAAACAGGATTCCAGTCATTTTATGAATCTCAGCTGTAACACTTCACAATAACTTCATCAATACCCTTCCTTTCTTCAGTTTTTCTCCTTCAGATCAATCCTACTTGGTGCTCCCAGTCTAATGTTTCTATAATACTATTATCTTGCTCAAAAATATAGAGTAGTCTGTCACAGTGGTTTCCAAATTCTGTTCTGCAGAACTTTGAGGATTCTAAAATACCCCCAGGGACTGACTTGGAGATAGGGAAGCTCTTGGACCCCTTCATCCATCACATCAACTTCAACAAGAATGATTCTACTTTAATCTGTTTTACCTATTAGATAAAATTTCATTTAAATAAAGAATTCTATGGCTAAAATAGTCTGGAAAAACTAGAGAAACTTCACACCAATCCCAGCTTGCCCCTTTGCAAGTTTTAAGACCCTCTACAACCTGGCCAAACAACCCATTCAATTCTTTTCCTACGAGTCTCCACCATTCCTCCCTGCCTTCTTACCTATACTTTGTGCCCTTCCTACTCCATACTCCCTTCTTCTCCAACCATTGCAAACTACTCACCATTTCCTGAACCCAGTATGCTCTCTCATATCACAGTGCCTTTGCACATGCCAGTCCTTCTTCCTGGAATTCTATAACCTATTCCTTTTCCCTCATCACTTCCTGGCCTTGCATACTTGACACACTGTTATTCACTTGTTCAGATTCTATTCAGATTGCTTCTTCCTGGGTGAACCAACCCCATTACACGACCTAACTTAACAGCCAGCATTCCCTCCTCTGTACACCTAAACACTATTCTATGTACAGGCTGCCATTTATACTAGCCTGCAATAGTTTTCTTACATATCTATCTCCCACATTATATACTGATTCTATCAGAGTGACTGCTTTATGCTCATCAGAAAGAAGGTATTCAAATGTATATGTATGAATAAATCACTTGGCTGTACACCTGAAATGTTTTTATATACCATTTTGTTTTTCGATTTTTTAAACGAAAAATGAATATTTTTCACGATTAGACTTAAATTATGAAATTCAATCCCAACTTTAAAGAAATTTTTTAATTAATTTTTTTATTGGAGTATAGTTGATTTACAATTTTGTGTTAGTTTCTGCTGTACAGCAAAGTGAGTCAGTTATACATATATGTATATCCACTCTTTTTAAGATTCTATTCCCATATAGGTCATTACAGAGTATTGAATAGAGTTCCCTGTGCTACACAGTAGGTTCTTATTAGTTATCTATTTTATATATAGTATGAAATTAACAACACTGTAAATCAACTATACTCTAATATAAAATAAAATTTAAATTAAAAAAATTTAAAACATTTTTAACTAAAAAAAAAATTAAAAAAAAAAAAAAGTTGATTGTCCCTCCTGGAAAGAAAAGGAGAAGAAGAAGAAGGTATTCAATAAAGATCTTGTAAATAAATATTAGAGAAATATCTGTTTCCACTATGGGGAACAGACAGTAATGATGATCAATCTTCACACCTGAATTTCATCTCTCATGAACCTATGATGAACTTGTCTCCTTAAGTTAATACTCAGTCCTGCATGGTATGTTCCACAGGCTAACTTCAGTTTCTTAAGTTCAGCTGTAACTCGTTCTGTCATTCTTCTAGAAGGACAGTAGATGATAGCTGGACCTTCAAATTCCCAAGCAGAACTAAAGAAAAAGAAGAGCAAAAGGACAAACATATACATATAGGCTTCAGACCAGTTTGAGTTTTACCTAATTTAATTTTCCCTTTCTTTTTAAAATTTTAATATAATTTCATTTTAATTTAGTTTTTAAACTTTAATTTTCCTTTTAGTAAAAAACTAAAAGGAGAAAGCATATAAAAAACAATGACATATTTAACAAATACCTGAAACATTTTAGACACTCAAACGTGGAAATAAATTATATTAAGCCCAAACACCTCTGACTTCACTTTTTTGTTCAAATTAAAACCAGAGACAAGTTTATTTATTGAAGCAGAAATCTTGCTAAAAACCTGTAAACTAATGGAAACGCAATTACCGTCCTTTGGAATTGTAAAGCGCTAGATTAACAATTAGTCTTCATTTATATAAGAAATGTAATGTTTACATAGGAGGAGGAATAAAATTTATATTATTCTTATGCCCTCTTATGATCGTAAAATTGAATTTCTAAATCTGTTTACTAAAAAAGCAAGAACTTTCATGCAATAGTAAAAGATCATTTTTATAGTTCAAGGAAGTATTTACTAGTAACTTGAGACTATATGACCATTACAGAAAATAACATCTGTTATAAAGCCTGTTTTAGAAATTTGCGCTTACTTATTAAAAGTATAAATAATGATTTCCGTAGAACATTTATTTAATTCCTCAACATATTCATTTACGTAAATACATTCATTTATGCTGACCTAACCAATATAAAAAGAATATACTATTTAGATTTAGGAAAAGTTACTTTAATTTTTAATGTGCGTAACCTGTGATACAATTTCAATTTTAGGAATCTATTTTACAAACACACACATCTGCTAAAAGATACATATACACAAATATTCACAACAAAACTGTAATAGTGAAAAATAATCTAAATGTTCATAATCATATACATTCATACTATAAAATGTGAAGTAAATATTTAAAAATTAAATGTATATAAAACCTTTAAAAAGGACTATGGTAAAAGTCACTGAAAACTTAGAGGGGAAAAATTAGAAAGTAATTTTACTCTACGAGTCTTACTGAATAATCTACTCAAAGCAATTTTTGAGAGTGACCAAATGGACTTCCATGTCAAAAATTCATAGTAGGTAACTCCATAGAGTGAAAAAAATGCAAATTATCTTTTTAATGTATAAGAATCTCAGTTAAAAAACATTTTTCAAAGAAGGAAAAATTGTGCACCAAAATGTGAATACTGTATAACATCCTAAACATTAAACATAATATATAGAAAGATAGCAGCAATACTTTATATAACAGGAGAAAATTGCAGAAAAGATTGACATACTATAGCAAACTAACAACAATAACAACAACAACTGGGAACACATATTTGCACAGTACAAAGAACAGACACCTAAAACGCTAAATGCAAAAATACCAACAGTAATAATAACTGAGGAATGGGACTGGAAAAAAAATCTACGTACTCTTCAATTTACATGCATTTGTATTGTTCAAATTGATACAAACAATATGGATCACTTTTTACATTAAAAAAAGCAGAAAATACAAAAATCTGAACTTATAGAGCAGAAAAATCAAAGCAGTAAAAATTCCTATTGATTACAGCAGTGAAATGGCTGGTAAAAGGACCTCGCTCCTTGTCTTCTTTGAAGAAAGAATTCAGCAAAGAGACCACGATTGTGAAGCAGATACAGCATTTATGAGAAGCAAAGTATATGCAGAAGAGCACATGGGTGAACTCGCAGAGTTAGCTGCACCCAATAGGGGTGGCTTAGATCGCGTATATGGGGCAGTCTTCCAGGTTTTCCCTAGCCAATCATCTTGCTTGTGCCCATATTTGGCCTGACTCAGGTTCCTTCCTGGTCAGCTCGAAGGTTTCTGGGAGGTTGGCAGGACATATTATGGGCTGGTGTCTCTTCCCTCCTTTGGCCCCTCCCCTAGAGTTGTGTTATCCGGAATTCCTTAGGGGACAACTGAGGACCTTCTCTACACATGTGATGGGCTGAGAAATCCCCTTGACCACAAGAATGAGGAAACTGTGGTCTCAGGGCCCAATGCTCCTTCTGCCATCTTATCTCAAAGTGACAGCAGAAGACTGGCTGCAGCTGCTCAGCCTGGGGCCCATCTATCGCCTACCTCAAATCCCGTCTGAGAGGTGTGGACCCCAAGGAATCTTTACTAGGAGGATGAAGGGGGAAGGTCCTTCTGTAGCTTCTTCAGGCTGCCATTGGGCTCATGGACCCTACCTAACTGGTGCCGTGGAACTCTCACCCTGCCTCGTCAAGGGACCCCAGAAAGGCTTCTGCTGTTATCCCAGCAGGATCTGTTTCAGGGAGTGGCTGGAATCCCTGCATCACCATCATCTTGACATGGAATTGCTGCAAGCTGGAAGAAACAAACTTAACAAGCCGATTAAAAAGGCAGGGGCCAAAGATCAGTAAAAGGACTATTGCAACTAGAGGCCCAAACAGGGGTAAGAACAAGGTTACACTTGGTAACACTCCTCTGATTGCAGTCCAGATAGAGTCAGTGCTTGGGTATCCCTGTCCGAAGGAATGAAGCCATCTGGCATGGTCATATATTTTCTTGATGTCCTCTTCTACTAGCTCAGTGGTGTTGATGTGGGTACAACATGTCTTATTAATAACTGCAAATACCCCTCTCTGTTCAGCCAGAACAAAGTCCAAAACCAGTCTGTTATCCATCACTACATCAGCTGAGGAACTAACAGACAACGAAAGTTTGGAAAGTGCATTCCCTGTGGACCTACTCAGAGCTGACAAGGTTATCCAAAAGTCTGCGGAGCACTGCTTCATGGTAAGCAAAGCCTTCCCAAGGGGACGCCAACCCAATAGCAACTCCAATCCCTACCAAAATGAGGCCAATTGCCCTTTTGCCCCAGGGGTGGGTGATATTATGGATGGTAATACCTAGGTTCCTTTGATTACTCAGTTGGCCTAACGTACACTGTCCCGTAAACAGAGCACTCTCTATACAAGGAAAGGCTACAGCTAATCTCGGGAAAGGGAAAGAGGGATTGGGGTTGTTCTGATGAGGCAACGGGTTTATGTCTAGACCACAAAGGAACAGATATCCAGAAGGGGCACATGCCTGACGCACTGTTGTAGAATTAAACCAATTCTCTAGAGAGCCTGCCCAAGAGGGGATCCCGTTACAGCTTGGGGAGGGAGGCCCACCATTATATGAGGGTGCATGAGGGGCGGGGACCCTTCCGTAGGCCTTGGGTTGGGGGGGGCCTACATTACACTTCAGACAATTGGTGTTTTTCCTGCCCAGTAAGTACATATCCCATCTGGGCTTTGTCCTTGTTTTTTAGTCTTTGATTGTATTTGTGGTGAGGGCACCAATGGGTGAGATTTCCACCTGTATCTTTGCCAGGACAGGTGAGAACAATTAAATTGTGGAGTAACAGAAGCATTGATCAGATTCTGAAGGTTCTCCAGTGTCACTGCAAGTTTTCATGCTGGTTGCATAGGGGCAGTGGCAGCAAGACAAGCTAGTCTTATTGCAATTTAAAATAAGTGTGTGGTTCTCATCAGATATATTGACGCGAGGGTTTAAGGTCTAAGCATGGAAGCTGCGCTAGGGACGGAATACGAACTTTAAGAGTAGGGTTAGAAGGACCCTCAGTAAGGTAAGGTCTGCTAGGTGTAAAGATTAGCTTGTTTTTAACACATAGGCATCACTCTGAGGATGGAGACGACAGATCCAGCACTGGGGTAGATTTTATCCCTGAGCTATAATTCTTGAGAGATTTACTACTGCGTTGGATTCCCATTCCCCTGACGTGGATCCCCAAAAGAGGGAGAGAAAAGTTAGGGTGATTGATATCTTCATAATGGCATCAATCAGGGTTTTAATTTCGGAAGTAACCAGATAGCAAGTAGCAAAGAAACATCAAAAGAAATCATATAGTAAACGAAAGCCCACTAGCAATTATGGAGTCCCAGCCTACCATCACTTATCTTGTTTCTGTCACCCGGAGAGTCCCAAAGGAATCAATTGTCAAAGCGAGAGTTTACTTATCAATGCGGTTGTCATTGGCTCAGGGATCACCTCCTAGAAGGGGTATTTGAGGGTTTTGGGTAGGTTCACAGGGATAGCTGGGATATATGTCTTCGGGTTCCTGTAACATATCAGTGGAGGCAGGTTTAATCCTGGACAGACGGACCCAACTCCTGACTCCCTGGAGCTTAACTGCTGTAGGGGTGCTCAGCAGGACTTGTTAAGGACTCTTCCACTTTGGGAGTAGCTGGGCGCCAGGGGACTCATTCTTTCAGGTCTTTAAAAGCACCCAGTCCCCAGATTTACAATGGAGTGACTGGGGCTGTTATCTGGGAGAGCTGGGTTCTGTTTCCATGTTCTTTTATGGCCGTTTGGACCTGGCCCAGGTTTATAATGTATTTAAGATGGGCTTGGTTTCTGGGTCAGTTACCATGTCTAGGGTGAGGAGTGGCCTTCCATGTGTCATTTCAAAGGGACTCAACTTAATAGCTGTTTCAGGGGCTGCCCTGACCCTTAGGAGAGCTATTGGCAGCAGGCGGTACCACGGTTCTGGTGTTTCCTGACAGAGTTTGCCCATGGTTTTCTTTAGGGTATGACTGGCCTGCTCTGCCTTCCCTGAGGATGGAGGTCTCCAGGACGAATGCAGGTGGTATCTGATCCCGAAGGCCTGCGAGAGCTGCTGGGTAACCCTGGCTTTGAATGAGGGTCCACTGTCACTCTGGAGGTGGTGGGGTAACCTGAACTAGGAGTGATTTCTTTTATTGATAGAAGTGTTCTAGCCACTTTGGTTGCCTTTTCCGTCCTACTGGGGAAGGCCTCTGCCCATCCGGTGAAAGTGTCTTTAAATACTAATAAGTATTTGCAGCCTTGGAAAGAGGGCACCTGACTGAAACCCATTTGCCAGTCCTCTCCTGGGCAAGTCCCACGTCACTGGGCTGGGCTAACAAGAGGGGGAGGGGGTGCGGC